TTCGGTAATTCGCGCTTGTCGGCCGAAAACGCGAAAGCGCGGTCTTGTAGAGACGGAAACGGGCCGATACTCTCGACGATTCCGCGGTATTCACGCGTTACGCAAGGCTTATCTAACGGCCACTTTTAGCCGGCGCGATAAGTGACGCCTCGTTCATCTCGATAAGTACGTACGTGAGCTAGATCGCGATAAGAGCGCGCGGCCGCCGCTGCCGTCGCCGTCGCCGTCGCTGTTGCCGCGATGGCGACTAGCATCGAGCGGGATCCGGAGGACGCTCGATAATCATTTACTTGGGCGAGCGTATCGCCGATAAAAGCGACGATACGCTCGCGATACATGCGCAAAACGTGTGTCGCGACGCCGGCGACGAGTTCCTTTGACGAATTTACCTGCGAGTCAATTTTAATTAATCAACGCGCTCGAAGCGCGCCGAATTAGCGGATTATCGCGCGCGCGCGCTCGCTGACTCGCTCTGTTCACGCGGATTAACCGGTCTCGATCGAGCGGCAAGGATATCTCGGGCTTTGGACGAGTTTTTGCCTCGTCTTTCCCGGACTTTTACCGTCCGTCCCTCCCCACGTCCCCGTCTCTTCCTTATTTCCCGTTTCGCCGGAGTCCTCGTCCTCGCTCTCGCTCTCTCGTCCTTCTCGGCCCTGGAGAGACTCATTAAGGAATTTCGCGTCGACCTGGGAAATCGCTATTATTCTCCGCAGTTCTTGCGGCAATCAGTACTCGCGGCGACGTCACCGAGCGAGCGCAGGTATCGCGGGAGCAAATTTGCTCGCGTTATTTGCCGCACAATTCGGTTAGCCATTGGGGACGCAGGATCCTTGCGCGCGGATGATTCAGTGTCGCGGCGAGATCGGGGATTCGGTATCGGGTCTGTCTGCCTGACGACGGCCAACTTCCGGCGACTTTCGTCGCCGCCGGCGGCCGCGCGGCGCAGTCACGCGATAACGCGCCACGATCTGTCCGGGCTGTCTTAAAATAATTTCTCTTTCGAGTAACCGTGAAATCTCTCGCACGCACTCCGCTGTTGAATCAGCCGCGCGGCGGCGCGGCCCTTCGCGTAGCCGCGCTCGTATCTGTGCGGACGGTGATTCACCCTATCGGTATCTGGTTCGCGTGACAAACGAGAGACTCGAGAGGCTTTCGGCGATCTAATTCTTCGCACGTCGGGACTCGAATTATATATATACCGAACATATATCGTTGCCCGCGCGACAGCTCGCGCTCCGTTCGCGACATTAATTTATTGTTAATTAATATATCAATCACGGCGATACGGATCGTGCGCGCCTTTGCGCTTTCGAAGCCCGTTCGATTGTTCGTGTGAAGGTTTGAAATGTTCAGTCGGAGTAATATCGACGGAGAGATATCTTGCGATATTATTGACAGTATTCGACGCACACGAGAGTGAAAAAGAGGAGACTGAAGCACGGAACAACTCCGCGCGGAGGTATGTGTAATATACGTATTCCATAGATATCGAGTCGAGATAACGTTCTCGCATATAACGCCGCGTTTCCATTAACGCGACGAAGAGATCGTTAAACGAGAAAGTAGACAAAGTCCCCTAAGTGCAGCTGCAGGAATTCTTACAAAGAGCATAGACAGTGGCTCGTCGTGTGCAAGCATAAAGGCGAGCGCAAGAATTCCACCTCGAAACGCCGATGAAAGAAGGGCCACGATTTTACATGTCCCCGATTTTATCTCGTAAATTCTCAACGCCATCGGATAAGCCATTGTCGCTCGCTCATTAGTCTTTAATATTCGAGGCAAACTTCGAGGGAGACGGCACCGGCGTGAAGTACCGCGCGTTGGCACTTCGCTTTTCAACATTGCGAGATTTAACGCAAATCCCGTTTGCATTCGCAATTGCTTTGGAATTCTAGAGTTTTAGCAGTTCTAGAAATGACTGCCAGAAACTGGCAGTAGCAATAATCCCGTCGCAAACTAGTTAAAAAGTGACATTTTGAAAAACGTAGAGTACCGACTTTCCGATTTTTCGATCTTAAAAAAAAAATCATTTTAACCTTACGCAGAAAAATTTCTACTGTCGAGGAAAGCGACTGCTCAGTTTGCTTTCCTTGTCTTGAATAATAGTTATCTTTGACAACGGATTTCCTCTTGATAACAGTCTTAAGATATGTGTACTTATCGCAAAGTTTAGAAAATTATCATGTACTCATTATCATATTACCAAAAGAAGGATTTATTCTTTCTTCAAGAGTATCAGAAAACTTCAACTCTCCATGTGTCCAAGACAGTCCCGCCTTTAGTTGAATATTCCTGAATGAAATACTAAACCTGCTAAAAAAATCTAGAATGAATTTTGAGTAAAGCTGCAGCTTATGATGAAATTATAGATGGATTTGCGGATACATAAGCTCATGAAGAATACTTGGAAAAAGTATATTTATATTTGAATGCAGTATGTATTTTCTTAAAACTTTATAGCCTGCGATATAAATTTCGCCGAGGGAAGACCGCGAGAGTTTCGATCTTCAACTCCGATTTTCAAGTCCGATTCTGCGAGTCCGCGACGATTTTCCTCTGAAAAGCAGCTTTCCTTTCGCAGCGGCGGCGCCGAGAAGAGAGAAAAGCGCACACTTGAGCTTAACGCGCGCCGCGTGCGGATCTGCCTCTTTAACCTTGACCCTCGTAACAATCGTAAATCCCCCATCGGGGGTGAATCATCCCCGCTGTCCGTGCAGCTCGCCGCGAGCGCGCTTTGTGTGTGACCCCTGATTTGTATTATAAGTACCACGCGCGCGATCTTTCATTACGATGATTACATTCATGGCTGCAATCGCGCGGCGGCGCCGGCCGATAACCCGCGATTTATTCGCTCGTACACTTCTGTGAGCCCCGTAACACGTTAAATAAATAGTCGGTCGTCCGATCATTGATTTCGAAATTACTCACGCTCGCGTAAATCCGCGGATCGATACACGAGCAACAAATCATATCCGCACGGCAGATTCGACTCGCGAGCGGATTGAGAGAGGCGAAGAAGAGCGGATTTCGCGCCCGTCGACTCGCCGCGTTCCTCTTCTTCTCGTCGGAAATAAAGAGAGGTGCTCGATACACGGACGTAGACCACATCGGCCACCGCGTTGGCATATGGGGCTCTCTCGCGTTAACCTTGACCCTCGTGTATACCACGATGGTGCCCACCACGCCCCAGTCGGTGAACCATCCCCCGTTGCGTTGCTTCCCCGTAAACGCTTTTATCTCGGCTTGCCGTGCGCGAGCAACGAGCGCGCGCGAGACTGCCAACGCTCACTTCTTTTTTCTTTCTCTCCATCTCTCTTTCTCTCGCCCCCCCCCTTTGCTCCTCTCTCCCTGCCCCCCCTCTCTCTCTCTCTCTCTCTCCTCTTCCACGATTATGGAACTCGCGGGCATCCACGGCTCGTATCGATCTCTTCGCCCGCTCAACATCCGCCACTGCTCGCTCTCTCTCTCTCTCCCTCCCTCTCTCTCTCTCTCTCTCTCTCTCTCTCTCTCTCTCTCTCTCTGTCTCTCCTTCTTTATCCAGCGAGATCACTCGTGCATCGAATATTCAATACGACATCGGATAATACGCGGTAATAAATTGAAGACTCGACACGGCGACGAAGTGACTCTGGTGTGTTATTTCTCTTCTACATTTTTTATTTACTTCTTCTTCCTTTTTTTTTTTCGTTTTCTCGTCGGAAGAGCCTTTGTACGCTGACAGCGATAGCATCAAAAGGAGACTTCAGATCGAGATACATTTTGTACCTCCCACGACACGTTTAATAATTTCTGTATTTGCACTAATTAAGAAAGAAGTAGACGATACCGCGATTACCATTGTATCAAATATATTTTCCCATCTCGGGAGAGTAATTATTTCTTTCTTTCTATCGCGTCAAAGCTTTCTATTTCCAAGACGATCGATACGTATCGATCCTCGGATTTTAACGAGCGCTCCGCTCGCTCCGCGTGGACGCGCGGCTAGAAACAGCTGGCCGGGAGAGGCTAAGGTCACCAAAGCGCGAGGTATAATTAGTCTCGCCACTTATATGGACCGAGCACTTTGGTACGCCGTTGAGGCCGCGCGAAGCGAAGAATTCGCTCGAAAATCCTTTGTACGCGCACCTGCGGCCTAAGGCGGTTTATATCTCTCATCGGCGGTGTGTCCTTTCGCGACCGGAATCGAAGGCTGAAGCCTTCGTAACCGCCATATACATCTAAGAATTAACGAAACTTCGCTTCGCTCGCTCGCTCGATTGTTCGTAGCGTGCACGCGCGAGCGTGATTAATGTGAGCGACGCGCCCTTGTTTGTTTAATAAGCTCGAATTCGCGCGAGAGTCAAGGGTAATCGCAGGGCCGAGCGGATGAAGACTGCGCGGCTGAAGAAGCGCGTTAAATTAATCTCACAAATCAATCAATGATCGTCTCTATTTGAGACACACCGACAGTAATTATTTCGGTTCAAACGGGTGAAAATTTCCAACGACGCTTGGGACTTTGAATTGTAGGAGAGGAAGCGAGAGTTCATGGGCAAAAATAAACGAATCGCGATATCTCCAACGACGACGGTGGTAAAGACCTAAACTACATTTTTATTTACCATCCTCGAACGCGCGCGACGGCGATAAATTATATTATTAATTATAGTTGTTACACTATTATTTACTATTAGTTACTATTATTTAACAAATTGCCGGCCGCTCACGTATCAATATTCTTTATCGTTGAATCACCGAACGGTAATGTGTCAGTGATAAATATCACTGACACATTACCGTTTAATTATAATTTAATATTAATTATACGATTGTATTCAACGAGAATGACGCGTTGATATTCTCTCGTCAAGCCGATCGCGTTTCACTAGATTCTTCATTTCGAAAAAAATCCACAGCGCGCATTCTCTTCGTGAATTTACGATATCTCTCCTTCCGCGGAGGAACGCCGTCGATTCGGCCGCCGCTTCAAATACAATGGCCGGTGCAATTTTTTGATGCAGGACGGCAACATCGAGCTCCAAGGAAATCCTGGACTTTCCTTAAAGCGTTCGAGGAGCTCAGCACTCCGAATCAAGAGTGGGAACGAAAAGGCAACGGAGTGCAGAGAAGGAGGAGAACGCGACGAGTGCGAGAAGGAGAGGAGAAGCATAGCTACAGGCGTCAGGATGAAGGTACACGTATTCTTTTTAAGGCGGAACACTTTACTGCCGCTCGTTTCACGGCGGTAATGGAGGAAGCCCAGCCACCCCCGAAGAATTAATTCGGGGCTAAAGCCGAGAGGCGAAAGAAAGAGAAAGAGAGAGAGAGAGAGAGAGAGAGAGAGAGAGAGAGAGAGAGAGAGAGAGAGAGAGAGAGAGAGAGGCAGGGAGCGAGTGAGTAAGCAAGAGAGAAGGGGAGGACGAGAGGGGGAGGGAGAACGAAAAAGCCCATCACCCCGATATCGAGTCGCTCGCCCGGAAGTGTTAGTGTCTACTTACCACTCCTTCAGTTAGCTTTTTACTTTAGTTGACCGCATTAGCGCGCGGTCTCCCGTTTCGCCGCCGCCGTCGCCGCCGCCGCCGCCGGGGTGATTTCTAATTTAGCCGCCAATTTGAGCGCCGGTAGTCGGCCCCCGGAGAGAATCAGATAGCGGAATTTCCAGCTCGACGCGAAGTCGACGCGGCCCCTTCAACGAGATTCTATTTCGCGCGAAATATTAATTTCTCGCTCGTCTTCTTCCTTCGCGCATGCGTCTTCGTCCTTCGCGCCGTCCTCCGCGGTTCTCCGCTCGAGATGACGGCTAACGACTGTTTCATTGATTACGCAACGCGTGCGAAACTCTCTCTTCTTCGTTACGTCCTCGTTTGATTATTTATCACCGGATACCTTTATAACGTAGCGAAAACGGCGAGCCGGAGAGCGCAATTCCCGCGCGAGCACACGCGTCGTATAAATCTCGCTTCTATCATAAAATCGCTCACGTAAAACGCCACCTAACGCTCGTTTACGAATTAAACGGCCACAGCCGCCTCTCTCTCCCTCGCTTTGAATTCTTGCCTCGTCTCGAGGCTGCGGCAACCGCTTACCGAACGGCACATACCTCATCTTTCCCCTCGCGCCGTAAGCCAGCCGCTCGGTTTAGACCTGAAAATCCCGGAACTTCCTTTCTTCGCATTTACTGGGGTTCTGAACATTCTTGGCGCGGTTGCTCGCCCCCTTGTACCGTTCGCTTCCGTCGAAGCCTCTCCATCCGAGCCGGGGCCTATTCATCCCCTCGTGTGCGCACGTCGACATCGCGCGTCGTCGGTGCGAGCGAGACGGCTGCAGCTCTCGGAGCGCGCGACGTTAGACGGTGAGCGCGAGCGAGACAAGAGACGAACGCGTTAGAGAGGGAAGAACGAACGCGCGCTAGACGGAGAACGCGCGACGACCTGCACTCGCCACTTGCCATGCGCGAGCCGAAGACGACCGAGGCTGGGCGAAGCGGGCCGATCCGGTCGCTCAGTCGCGCGCGAGACGTGCAGCGCGACGGTCACGCTGCGAGCACAGTGCTCGGATCGGCAGGAGGTTGTTCGCACGATTGATTTACGCGTGAAGAATCTCGGAGACGCGACGCGACGCGACGCGTCACGAAACGTGCGAGCGCGCGTTATATCAGCAGCCTCCATTGTTATACCGGCGACTTTGCGATACACACGGAAATCCTTGAGTGAGTACGGTGACGCGCTTCTTCGTCTGAGTGCCGTCAACATCCGAGAAGCCACACGGGCCGAGACGATGATCGCTTCGTGACGCGGCGGCTCGCTTTGATGTCACGTGAAAAACGTCATCCGCGATACGCGGCGGAGAAACGCGAGTGCTGATTTCTGCCAGTGAGTAGATTCTGATCAATCGCGTAATGCCGCGTGACGGACGATTCCACAGGAAATCGAGGCGAACGAATGCACGCGCGAGTGTGTCGTTTTCGAATTGAGAACGAGCCGAGTTCGTCGTGCGAGCGCAGCCAGCGATATCTCTCTCTCTCTCTCTCTCTCTCTCTCTCAACACCGTGGCAATTATCTCGGAATCTTATCGGTGATCATCCGTTTATCGCATATCCTGCGGATATCTGAGTAACTCGGCGCGCGGTCGTAGGGGAAGAGCCGCCGGCCGGGACTGATATTGAAAAATGAGTTGTAACTATTTGCGGGTAACCTTGGGCTTCTAATTGGCTAGAGAGACGAGGCTAACGAGTACAGAGCCGTGCTGTGTGTCGCGCGTATGGCATGTGATACGAGCGACAGAAAGAGAAAGACAGACACTCATGCGTGATACGAGGATCCGCGCGCGGCTATCGATATTCCGGCAGACGACGACGTCTCACGTTTCTGCCGGTGCTTCTCCTCCTGCTCGGATCTCTCGCCGAGTGAATTTATCGCGAGTCTGTCTATCTGTTATCGCGATGACGACTTCGATAAGCTCGAAATGCGCTACGCAACACGTCGCGTTCCGCGGGTGAAAATGTCCGACGATAAGCTCGATGGTCGCGCATCGTTATCTGCAGAATTTTTATTTCTTTTTTCCTTTTTCTAAACACGTCACCGCTGCAAGACTCGGCACGTCGCCGATTTAAAAATTATCCGCGTGTTTCCTCCAGAAATTCGCTCGCGCGCTTACATACACATTCGCACTCGCATTCCTCGCGATATAAAGGTGAGGCGTTTCGGGCTCTCGACCTAATAACTTTATTGCCTCCCCCTCCACGCGCTCGCGGCGCGACGAGAACGAGAGAAAGAGCGAGACGGACGCGCACTGACGAAGAGAGAAAGAGAGAAACGGCAAAAAAGGCCCCCGACGTGCTGCAAATTTGCGACGGATTGTAAAAAGCCGGCCCGTAAAGCGTTTTATTATTTGCAGCGGTGCCGCGGACGGTCCAAATAACGATAACGTGTGCCGCGCGCGGGTCATCGCACGCGCGCGTCGCCGAGATCGTTTGCGCGTATGTATGGTGATCGACGAGAGAGAGAGAGGAGAGGAGAGGAGAGGAGAAAGAGAGAGAGAACCGCTCTCTGCTCGTCGACGTGGTCCCGGAATCGTCGCACGGCGACAATTTCCGCGAACCCTCCATCCTCCTCCTCCTCTTCGTCCTACTCTATTCTAACTCTTTCTCTCTCGCTCTCCCTCGAGCGCTGCTGCTGGGCCTTTTGTGCGTGCAATTTCCACGTTTTGTTTCGCGCAGGCAGACGCGAAACACGCGCGTCGGGAAACGTGCGTGTACCCCGGCCGTGCACGTGATACGCGTGTGCGTGCGTCCGGTGGTACGTGTGTGATGTGTGTATGTGTGTGTGTGTGTGTGTATGCGCGGGCCGTGCGTAGTATTTTCGGCGGCGAACAAATCGATCGGTATGGTCTGTGTCGGCCGTTGTTTCTCTCGCTAACGTCGTCGGCGTCTGTGTTGGCCATGTTCGTCATGTGGACGACTACACGCACAGATTCGCTACGTTAAGGCCGGACCCGGTCGTAGTAAATAACTGTTTGTTTCTCAGCCGTACAGCGAGCGCCAATGAGGAGAGCGTCTCATCTCTCTCGGCGTCTCTTCCCGCCTTAGTCTATATCCGATACGTGAGTTCATATCTGTCTCGTTATCGCTTGGGATACGCGATTGTCTACGGAAAAGGCAGCAGAGAACGAACGGTCCGCGATGCCACCAGAAATCAACAGACTGACTTGAGTGCGGCTCGAGTGCCTTCGGCTAATAAGCCGAAGGAGAGCGGTTCGTCCGAAAGGATCCTTTTGTCTTCTCGCTGAATTAGTCATAGCTCCCGTCAAGCGAGTGACGTCGGCTATCACGTGTTCGCACGCCGCAAAAGTCATTTCGACACATGGCCCGCATAACCTTCGGCGTTTTAAGAGGGAAAGTGGGATCGCGGGTAGAAGCCGAGACCGTCGAAAATCTGCCTCATAGCCGGAATCGGCCGGAAGCGTTCGCTCAGCGAATTTTCCGAACCGACCGGGCTCGCGGTTACGGCGAGGAAACCGCGATAAAGCCGTCGCCAACATTGTGTCTCTGGTCGGATGTAAAAATAAAAGGAAGCAGACGCGTGTCTCAAGGCTAACGGACCGCGTATTACTCCCTCTCAGGAGCGTACAATCGCGCGCCCGACCCCCCTCGGCTCGGCTCGGCTCGCCTCGCTCGCGAAGGTGTTTTTAATCGCGCCGATGATGTCCGTTCGCCAAGTGAACGCGTATCTGTTGTTTTCCTATGTGGCTCCTTCGTCGCCACGTTTCATCTCCCGGCGACCTTCCATCCCCCTCGGATCCCCCCACGGATCTGTGACAAATCTACGACCGAGCCGCGGCATCAGCGGCCTCGTCGTTCGTTTCAGCAGCGGTGGTTGCTGACGGTGAAAATTGATAATTGCTCTGCGTCAATTTTCATTGCCCCCGCGGCCGACGGCGTACGGGGACGATCGCGAGTCTCGTGTGATATCGATTCAATCATATTTTTATCGCGCGGTCGGGGGACTAAATTAAGCACGAATCGCCGCTCCCGTTATTTCCTCCGACGACTATCTCGTTCTCGCAAACTCGTCATGAATTTATCACGCCGGAATTTTCGTGAGAAGTTTCTCGCGAGGGGGCGAGCCGCCGGGGGATTCCGGCGTGTAGAATCGATGTATTAGTTATTACGTAACTTTTCTTCATCCTCGCGGAGCGAGTTGGAGCGCGCGAGCCACCCCGAGACACACATATTCCTGCTGTGCGGTGCGGCTCTGGTGCGTCGAGCGAGCGAGTTACGTGGAAGGTCTGTTTTTTTATTGATAATGCGACGATCAAACACGGACGTGCGCGAGCGATGTAATGGAAAGGCAGGAGAAAGGAAAAGAGGCTCGGGAGAGGAAAGAGAAAGAGAGCGAGGTCGGGGGAAGGCCCGTCGAGAATTTCCAAATGTAGCAGCATACCGACGGGAAATCCGTCGTATTTATAACGGCCGCACATGCTATCTCTCTCTCTCTCTCCCTCCCCCTCTCCCTCTCTCTCACGCGCTCTCCTTCGACTGGCGGCGATGAATAACTGATGCCATATCCAATCAGTAAATGGAATCGCGGCCGTAGTCGGAGAGAGAGAGAGAGGGGGGGGAGGGAGAGAGAGCTAGCTCTCCGCTCCGCTAACAAGAATTTAAGACACGAGTTTCGGGGCAAATCTCGCCTACCGGCCTCGCCGGATGTTTCCGTGTGTGTATTAACGAATAACGCACGGGAAATAACAGAGGGGATATATATCGGGACGACGATCCTTGATGCGAAGCGACGGGATGATCGGTGATCGCGTCGGAGCGAAGATTAATCTTGATTAATCGATCCGCGGGCGCGCGACAAGTGGAGAGGACGCATCGAGACGAACGCGAGCGACGAGAAGCCATTCGCCGCGTCCGAGCGAATTGAGATTCATTATTTACGATTTTTGTAAAAATAAAAAAAAAAAGAACGAGCCGTCCCGGTCATTATGCGAGCGAGCGCGAAATTATAAAACTCGCCCGCGCGCTTAGCTGCGTACCACTAATTCGTTAGTCGTCAAATTAGGCGGTTAATATTTCACGCGCGAGCTCTCTGACGTGTATCATATGAATAACGTGAAAAATTCACACAAGTTTGCCAACGTGAGAGAGGGGGACGAGTATCTGCCCCCTCCTCCAAAATCCTCTCTCGCTCTCTCCACAACGCAAGTTACTTCGTAACGTCAGGCGAAAAGGAGCTCTCGGAAATTAATCGTCGAGATCTAGACGCGAGTCGGCTACATATCGAAGTAACGCTCCGTTGTGAAAAGGATAGTTCCGATTCATTCAAAGCTCCCCGGATAATTTCTCTTAATCAACAATGTCGGTAGTCAACATCGAAGCTTCTCAATGCTCGCGAGGAGATCGTCCAAGATCGCGCGTGTTGTATAACAGCCACGCGGCTTCGAAGCAGGGCCGTAAGGATCGGGCACCTACTCTCTCTCTCTCTCTTCCTCTCTCTCTCTCTCTCTCTCTCTCTCTTCAGTGCTATTTCCGTACGCGCGGCGATTGAGCGGGTCGGCAAGACGAATCGACGCCAAGAATTGTACGAGTGATCGAACGCAAAAGCCGCTGCCGCCGCTTGTCCTCGTGCGAACGCGCTTTGAACTCGCGCGCGCACTCCTAGGCTCGCACTCTCTGCGATCAATCGCTATCGGCGCGATGAAACCTCGCGGGCGACCGAGTGATCCGAAGAAGTAAAATGCAACGGGTGAATTTTCGGGCACGAGAGAAAGAGTGAAAAGTATCGACAGAATTTAACGAGAGGTATCGCTCCAACGGGTTGATTCTCGTTTATTTTAAAACGATTATCGGCTTCTCGTGCTGCGGATACAATTTTCAGAGCGAATGTGAATATTGGTTGAATGATTTACCCGTCCGTTAGACGCGATACATCAGTAATTGTACCGGGAATTATATCGTCTAATAAATATATCGGGTATCGGCGCTAGGAATTCGTAACAATCGCAGACGGCAATTTTTCTATCACGTTTCTACCGATTAGTTTCGGTTATTAATTCAACGTCTCTCTCTTCGTTGCTGATTCCACAAAATGGAAATTGCTCGGGCACTCTTGAGCATTCTAATTTAATAGAAGATTTAATGTAAGATTTAATTGAAGATTCTAATTTAATAGAACGACGGCTGATTACACGTTTGAAAGCATTCTACCGAAACGTAATGCGTCCTGAAAAGAAGACCTTCGAAACGCGCAACGACCGTCTCTCTCTCTCTCTCTCTCTCTCTCTTCCGGTCTCTCCGTCGAGTTACTTCGACATCCGCGGTCCTTTCGACTTCCCAGGCACGAAGAAGACCACGTTACCGCGTCGTAAATCATTTCGCGGCGTGTGTCCCGAGAGAGAAAGAGATATCTCTGCCACGTTGGTCCCCAGAAGCCGTCATCGCGCGAAGAGACGCGATTTTCCCCGCGCCAGGATTGATTCATCGCGGAGGACGAAGAAGGCCGAGGAAACGTCGGGACACGAGCGAGCGAACGAGCTGAAAAGAGAAAGAGAAAACAAGGCCGCGTACTGTGCGGCGTTCGGCCGTTATCGGCGCCCTTATCGACGCGAAATAGCGGTTGACAGGGAGTTTGCCGAGTAACCGACCCCCAGGACGAGTCTTCTCACACGGCCCGTTGTGCTCGCCTCTCGTGACGTGACTCACTCGGAGGGCCCGCGGAGCAGCGGAAATCTTGTTTGTTCGACAAAGACGCTTGTCCTTTGTGCCGCGAGCTTATCTCCGTGTGTCCGATTGCCCCGAACAATTCACGCGGAGAGCTGCTCGTTCTTCCGTCTTTTTTTCTCCTGCCGCTCCCCTCCTCCTCGTTTCTTTCTCCTCGCCGATGCAACGCGAGATTATACGCGCTCGTAAAAGCGCGCGAAACACGCACACGTGCGCGGCCACTCTGGCGGCACAATCGGGTCAAATATATTTTAATCGCGCCGCCGCGGATACGTATCTAGCGACAGCTCCGCGAGAGAGCGAACGCGACTATTCATAGAAAAGAAGATAGCCGAGGGTATCCTTACTACGCGATCCGCGCTGTGCTATCGGCGATGTCACAAGCGGGCAATGTGTGCGTTTCCGGTCTCGGGAGATAATTCGCGACCGTGCGCAGCGAGAGAGCGATGTGAAAAATACCGCGTTTCGCGTGTTTCTCTCTTCGAGGGCGAGCGATACGTATTTTCGGAGCGAGTGCATGTTTTTCCGGTGTCGGCGTTCGCTCCGCGAGCGAGATAACCATCGGCTGCTCTTTATTCTGTTATTCTATTTCTCATTTCAGGTATCACGCGGAGAGCGGCGAGCGACTCCTCCACACTCTCTTCCACGGCGCGTTCCCGCGTTCGAAGCAGTGCGTGCCCAAAGCCCCTTATCATTCTCCTGTCCGGTGTAGAGTTGTTAGACGACTGGACGGAGAACTGATAAGGGCCCGAGGGTCACAGAATCATCGTGGGACTGAGCGAATCGCGCGCGCACTCACTCTCTCCGTTCACCGAATCGCCACTGGCGGCGGCCGTTCTACGTCACGGACTGAATTTTTCGCAGCGATGAATGGACGCTCAAGTGGCTGTTCTCACTCACTTAACCCAGGACTCGTTGATCCAGATTACATTATACACACAATAGTGGACAGTTTCGGTCAGGGATAAAAAAATATATATATATATATATTTCATGAAGGCGAGATGAGAGAAATCGATGCGTGATCGTCGGCAAAGTGGCGAGAATAATCGGGTCCGCTGTTTCAAGCTGTGTTAAATACACGAGCATTTATGGTGTCGTCGATAAAATGCGTTTTCATGTATTGTTATATTGTCATTGTTATGTAAGCATAACGGAATGTTCGCACAGCGAGGGATATCGACTTGTACAAGAGGGTTTACGTCGAGAAGAATAAAGCGAATCGCAGTTCCCGCTGAAATCCCACGAGAAACTTATGTATAATATTGCACAGAATAAATGACTCCAGAAACACATGGTAACCTTCCCAAGTCACTTGTTACTCCCGTCCGCTCGGTCTTAGGGAGGCATCGCACGATGACTCGGGTCCGACACGGTAGAAGAGAAGCCGGTCAGCCAGCTGATTTATTTCGGAAGAGAGGGACACGAGACTCTCTCGCTCTCCGCGAGAGCGTGACCGTCGCTGGCCGCGAAGAGACACGTGACTTGTGCGCGCGACTCTACCGCGACAAGTTGTGCTGACTCGCGCGAGCTTGGACGTTAATTATTGCAGCCGGTCCGAAAACGATCCGCTACGTTCCCGTGCTCTTGGAAGCCGCGTGCTCGACCTCGTAATTCGGGTTGATCTGGATGATCTGCCGGGCGGCCGCCTCGCACAATTTCCGCGGTTGGTTCTGCACGATCAGTATCTGCTGCTGCTTCGGCGCGTCCTCCTTCTCCGGCAGGAACTGATTGACCCCGACGATCTTCAGCGTCGGCAGGCCCTTTATGATCGTCGCGTTCGGGATCGCGAGGTTCGCGCCGCCGCAGTCCACCTTCGGGAAGATCACCGGGTTCTTCGTGATCGACAAGCTGGGCTTCTTCGGCAAGCCCGCGCTCTCCGGGCATGCGTAGGGCGCCAGGCGCTTCGCGACGTTCGCCGCGACCGGCACCGTCAGTATCTCCGGATTCATCGATATTATTTTCGGCCCGAGAACTATTCCGTTTCCTGCAACGAAACGCGAGAAATAAAAGCAAACTCACCGGGCGTTGTTGCACCGGCGCGCTAAATTTAGACTCGCGTAAATTTCCTTTTCTCTGGCGCCGTGCGCGTATCTCTCGAGAGCGTGGAATCATGATCCGGAAGAGAACGACCAAGAGACCACGAGAGAGAGAGAGAGAGAGAGAGAGAGAGAAAAGTTTATATATATCGCGCAGAAAATACAATCTTCTTTCTCGTGTCCGAGACCAAAGTCGAGAAAGACCACGCGCCGACGCCGAAGGGAAAGCGCGCGACTTGCCTTTCTGCATCGCTTTCGTGACGGGGCAGTCTCTGTGAGCCAGCAAGAGGGTCTTCAGCTTCGCCACCTCGGCGCGCAACGCCTTCACCTCCATCTGCAGGGCCGCGTTCGCCTCGTTCACGTTCGTCACGTTCCTCTCGAGCTGCTGGATCCATGCCTTCCTCCTGGCTCTCGCACGCATCGAGCTGGCGCGGTTGCGCTCGAGGATGTCCTTCTTCTTCAGCTGGTCCGCCGTTTTCTTCGCGCTGTCCTTCGCGCCAGCGGTCGTCGTGTGCTCGGCGATGCTCTTCGCACAGCCCTCGGCCGGCCGCGGCGTCTGCAGAGCCGCGTTTTTAGATAAAGCTTGCTTCAGCTTCTGCAATGCGATTTCTAAGAGACTCGTCTACGGGCGCATGTTTATCGACAGATTTACGCTCTGCTTCGGGAGGATTACCATTTTTGCTAAGGACATCCTCGAGACCACGGGTTTCTTCGGCTCAGACCGCGAGGCGCATCGCAGAGCTGGTTCGGTTCTGATGACGACGGTCTGTTGTTGCTGCTGCTGCTGCTGCTGCTGCTTGCTGCCGACGTGGGTTGACACGCTGTTGATGACTTCGACTGGTGTCGCCGACAGCTGCATCAATTTGCCGTCCGCGGTTTTCAACAGCAGCTGCACCTCCTCGCCGTTGATGGACCTTCGCAAAAGGACAGCCTGACTTTACCGCCGGTGGCGATTCGAGGGAAAGCGATCGTAGTTTGATCTTTCTTCGGAAAATATTTCGAGGCGATCTGACAGCGAAAGTCTTACGTTTCTGTCATTATCCCAAAGCACTTATCGAGAGCAAATTTAATCCTGTTTATATTCTTCCGTGGGAAATTTCCTTTTGCTGTTTTCGTCCTTCATGCAACAACGATGTACAGGATGAAGGAATATGGAATGAAGGAACGGGATGACGTGAGAGCTAACTTGTCACAATGATGACTTGATGATATTCTTTGCATCGACATGCGTGGCGCCGGCAACAGTTTGATTGCAACTGGACGCAGTGGGAAAAGATGTTGATCTCTCGAGAAACTTCGCGTTTTTATCATTATTATTACCTTGAAACGCTTATCGAAGCGTTTACGAAATCAAGTTTTTGTCAGGTCTCTTACGAGAGAGGGACTTCTTTGTCATTTCTGCTGGGTTTTCGTGCGAGAGCGCAACGTGCTGGGCGAAGAAGAAGGAAATCAGGAGTTAAGCGGACTGACGTGATGGTTCTGCCACAGCAGCAGATGCTTACAGATGCGGCGTGGGTGACCTTGGCAACAGTTTGGGCGCGATGGGCGCGTTCGTGGCGGCGACGATCATGTCCGGTGAGAGAGCGTCGTTCTTCCCGGACGTCGTCGGGACGTCCTTCATCAATTCCGGCGTGTCGCTCACGCTCAGCTTCATAGCGCCGCACACCTCGGGCTCGATGACGCTGGCCCCGTCGTCCTCCGTGCTCTTCTCGGTGAGAGACACGCTCGGGGGACATTCCTCCACATTGTCCTCGAGAATCTGATTGCTCGTGGACAGCACGCCCGGTATGTAGGGGAAGATGTGCGGGGTGTGCAGAGTATCATCCGTGATTCCAGCCTGCAAGAAGCGATGTATCGACGTCACATCTGTCAGTCCATCCGCTGATGAGATCAGCGGGGGGAATCATTGAGGGATTTTATTTCAGCGATTTCTCTGTCTCTTGCCTCTGGGACAGTCAGCGTGCCGGTGTTGCCTTCCTCGACCGCCCTGCGGAACGTCTCCTCGAATGGGTTCACCTGCAGGTCTTGGAATAGACCGACCTCCTCGCAGTTCCTGATGAACCTCGTGGGCGTTGGAGTTTGGTCCGCTGTGGGTGAACAAAGGTCTTTCATGGCACACATTTCTGTGTCGACTGAACCGAATCGTGTCACACTTTGTGGTCTTACCGACAAAGCCAGTGTTCTTCGAGTTATTGTTCAGATTCAGCATCATGTCGTGCTTTTTCTTGTGCACGCTCAATTGGTCCTCATTCGTGAAGCTCTGTAATTATAGGATGGCCTGTCTTGTTCGTGCCTTTTCTGTACTTCATTCTGTATTCCATGCGCGTGTGTGTATGTGTGTCTGTGTTGTAACTATTATAGTTCTGAAATATTCTCATGATGTTACATTCCGACCTGGACAAGCCAGAGTTCCTGAAGAAAATGACACATACCATGCTGCAGCCTGATGTGGAGCAGGCGAAGGGTTTCTCACAGTCAGTCATCGCGGGTGCATTTCGGGGTGAACTGCGTTTTCCAATTTCTTCTCGACGCAAGAAAATATTTGTGGTGGGCAAAAATATGCACAATGGTCTTACATGAGGAAATGCATCTTTTACGCACTACTATTATCTGTGCGATTTTCTCTGCCACTTTGCGCTTGTAAACTCGATCACCGGCGAAAGCGAATCAAACTTATGCGTCTCGAAACAATCGACGAAGTTCCCGCGTGTATTACGCGCGCGAAATCGAAGCAGTCGCGACCGCGTTGTTTTCCTTGCAGCATTCTGACACAACAGCAGCCATATTGGCACAGTTGCAGGCAGTTCCGTTCAGTCAATATGACTAACTCGACATCTGTTGTATCAGCCGGACTTATGCTGCCACCTTGTATAAGATGTGAGAGGATGGGTGATTGTGTGGTCGGTATCACCGCGTAGAACGCCACGAATGTTTCAAGGGGACTGGAGAGTCAGATTACTGAAAAATCGTACTTGTTTTTTCATAATATTTTGTGACGAACTGAATAAATGTGCAAGAATGAAAATTTTTGATATATTTACATAACACATGAAGAGTAGAAAAATTTTGTTTATTAACAGATATTCATATAAATATACATCCACTTAAATTTTAAACGCGAAATGTTATTGTTCAACTTTTTGCAGCGATTTCTCCGAAACTGAGCTTCGTATCGATTTGAAATTTTAGAGCAATAATATTTGTTCATCTGGCTCTCAGGTGAACCATGGACAACTCCGTCAAAATATTCCATTCCGAGATATTAATTCTTTTATTGTAAAAGAACTGAAAAATTTGAATTTTTTCCTAATAATAGCTGCCATGTTGTTAATTTTGTTCGATTTTTTTTTTATAATACTTCACCGGATAAGCCTCCTTAAGATTTCTAGCTAAAATTCGCTCTGATCGAACCATCGAGAGCCGAGATATTACTGCAAAAACGACAACTTGAAAAAAAAAGGAGAGTATATTTCAGCTATATATATCGTATATTTATATGAGTATTTGTTAATAATAAACAAAATTTTTCTACTCTTCACACGTTGCATAAATATACCTAAAATTATTTTCATTCTTGCACATTTATTCAGTTCATCGCAAAATATTGTCAAAAACAAGCACGATTTTTCAGCAATCTGACCCTCCAGTCCCTTTAAGCATGCATGACGTTTCGTGATTTTTGTTTTTTTTTAATTTTTCCGTATTGTATTTCTTTATTATTTCTTTCGTCATTTATTATAGAATCTAATTCTGTGCATTTGTTTCAACGTTCTTTCAATCGATTTTATGTGACGTTGAGAAATATTCGGGAGACAGCAAATCGAATCTTGTTTTGAAAATATATATCTGAGACAAAATTTTTCGATATTCCGCACGAGTATAAAAATTAATATAAAATTTTCACGTCATATATATATATATATATATCGCATCAACTTCAAAGCGCACGCAACGCGAGGATGATGGGGAAAATATCGCGAGTCACAACGTGATTGCGGAAGTGACAAAGAAATAATGCAGAAACGACACACAGAGTGACGTGGACATATGTATGGGGAATGACAGTTTCAAATTTAGGCGTGCCTCCTCATTGCTCATTATGTCACGTGTGGTTACACGGCGAGTTACGCGGATACTTCGTTTGAAAGTAACGAGAAAAATGCGTGCGCGTGCGTGAGCGCTTCGTTGCTAATGTAAATTAATAAGTTTGTAATTATATCATTCTGACGCTATCGTTTCGTCCGATCAATTCACGACGAAATGGAAATAAATTAAAGAGAGTTACACACTGAAAGTCAACAAATAGCTCAATTTTCATTTTTCCCCGGCTGGACCTGATTGGATCTCACTGAGCAGAAAGAAAGGACCGGATATCATGGAAAGTGCGTTTCCTCCTCGCTCGCACGTTATCTTTGCGCGCTCACCATGTAAACGAGCAGTTTCAGAAAATTGCGTGCCGAACGAAAGTTTCATTTTCACGCGACGAAACGAGATTTCAAAGTGAAATCGCCCGAAGGAGACAGATCGTCCCGCACGATTGAGACCCCGTGTGAAAGTAAATGTTTTGGGTTTGGGTTATCAAGCTCACGAAGAACGAAGGAGCCAAGCGGGATATGGCATCACCGCGTCGCGTGTCATTTCGTTCGTATGAAAGGCCCACCCGAAAAATCGTCAATCGGGAATCAAAGTTGCGACTCGCGAAATTCACGGGCCTCGCGGCGCGCGGCAAATAAACAAAGAAGAAACATTCGCAAGAGAGCGAGTGAAATTCGAGAAACTCGCGGGAGATTAAGCGAAGAAGCAGCTTGGAAAGTCGGCGGGAGGAGGATCAGAAAGCAATTAAATCGGAAAGTAAAATGGAGGAGTTCGGTTAGAAATCGACGCTCCGAATAAAATCAAACGACGAGCGGAATTAACTCGACTCGCGTGTGCTCGCGGCCTCGCGACAGAAAGGGATGAGCAGTGCCGGCTCGGTAGAAAGTGGTGACCGTTGTCGGGGAGGGACTCTTTATGATCTGAAAGGAACGGGCGCGAGAGACGAGCCCGCAGCGCGCGCGCGCGCGCGCGCGACGGCTGGGCCTGGTAATTTCACTGGCTAGATAGAAGAGGAAGGCGCTTTGGGCGCCTTCTGGGCCCGTCTGGAGAGAGTGAGGACGCACGGCGAAGAGAGTGGTCTCGGATGCTGATGTTTCTGTTCCTCATCAGTAGTCAACCGCGTGTCGCGGTGTTCTATTCATTGGCTCTCGTCCGTGTGTGAACGTGACACGACCCCGGCCGTGCCGGACAGGCGGCGAAAAGCGCGCGAGTATTCACGCGGACAAATCAGATCGCAGAGCGGTGACGGAATAACGGCCGTCCCGGCGTCGATAAACGCGCACGTCGCGGCGAATTTAATTTATTCCGAAGAGCGTCGTCTCGAACCCCCCTGCTCCTCCTCATCGTCTCGTCGACTCGCCGGTCTTTACAAGTGTCAAGTTTATAGTCACGAGTGTGTTGCGATATAGAAGAGAAGGTAGGGATACAGAGCACGCTGCGCTCCGACGGCGAAAAATCGCGGTAATAATTTCACTCTGAATGAGAAACGCACGCGCGTTGCTGAATTCCGCGTTGACGGCTTCGAGGTCCCTGTCAATGAAAGCGGAACAGCGTATCTTTCGATATCCCACCCCCTCATTTCCTTGCCATTTCGAATAACCGCGTCCTTTCACCGATCTGCTCTAAAGTGACAGATCACGCCCGGCAGACGAGATCTCAGACTCGCGACGTCGGCCTTGATCTCGATAGAAAATCCAGGTGAGGCCGTTGATCGGATCACAGCACGTGCGCACTGACGATCGATTCTTCGGAAGGCGACAGGAACGGTCGATTTCTGCCGTCGCTACGACGGAAAAGCCCGGTCCCGCGCAGCTCGCCGGTTCGCCCCAAAGTGTCGTCCTCTTCAGCGCTAATTAAGGTTCTGCAGAAGCGCACAGGTCTCTCTCCAAGACACCAAAGTCCTCAAAATGTTTGTAATTATAGATATTTCGTGCGAATTAGTCAGCCAAGGAATTATAGAGGGAAGTTCTACGGTTCAATTCCGTTTTCGAAAGTTTGAAACTAGTACTGAAGACTCTCTAAAGTCCCTCGAATTTCTTCTAAAGTTCACGTTCGAGTAGTATGAAACCGAGCGAGAAAAAGTCATTCGCAGCAAGCTAATAAATTGGGAATATGTTGGGCGGTGTGTAAGGCGGACTTGGCGCGGACGGAGAGTCCGCGCGCTCGCTGAGCGCGAGAAGAGCGAAGAAAGTCGAGCGATCGAAAACAATAGCGGAGCTCACGCGCGCGCTTTAATTCGCGGCCCGCAACAACGGCGGTGGCTGAAAGTGATATATCCGCCCGCCCCCTCCGTCTCGATTTTGAGCCCGTTGCATAATTCATGCAAAGTAGCGAGCGTTCGCTGCAGAGCCGGACTTCTCAGCCGGAGATCTGCTCCAGATTTTTTCGAGTGCGCAGTCCTGCGCGCGCGGCTAACACAGTTCGCTCTGTCTCTCGCGAGCTCAATTCAGCCGCAATTTCTCGAGCGCGCGGAAAGTATAAATTTCTCTCTAATGCGACCTCCGCGTCTGCCGATAACAACGAACCCTGATTAAAGCCTACGGAAGAGAGACGCGCCTGGAATCGAGAGACCCGACAATTCTGTAATTGTCGGCAAGCTCCAAAGTTCAACTTCACATTCTCTTCAAAGTTTCAAACTCTTGTCTCGGAGAGTGCTAAATTCCCGAGAGTTTCTTCCAAACTCTTCACGTTTGAATAGTCCGATATATAGAGGGGCGACGACTGAGCGGGGAGGGGGGAGGGGGGAGGGAGAGAAGGCGCGTGGTGCGCTTTTTGTTGACGGGTTTGCAACTTTGCACATCGTCCGACGGTCTTACCAGCCGGAAAAGATGCGAGGACCGCGGCCCGGCTGACTTGGATGCGACATCCTCGTCGAGCGCAATTCGGAGCGCGTCGAGGAGCCGCGCGCGCGTGCACGTCGCCGTCGTTGTCAAAGTCGAAAGTTACCGACTAACTTTCACTAATAACCAAAGGTACAGCGGCGCGGCGGTGCGGTTCCGCATGTAGACCGGCCGAACGTTACGAAGCACTAAAAGGCGTGCCACTTGTCTCGGTGGCCTGGTTTCGTGTCCCACTTTTGCGCCGGACTGTACGTGAACGTCTTGGACACGCTAGCGTGAACCCGCTCGCGGTGGCACCGAGCGTCGCCAAGCGTCGAGGAAGCGGCCGAGGATGTGGACAAAGGCTCGGTCGCCAAGACCGAGACGCACTGTGGAATATTTGAGCTGAAAACTGGCCAAAAGTCAATTTTCTTAAAATTATTCCTGCTCTACATGAGTGACTATCCTAGACAGCAGAATATCTGCGGAATATGGGCCGCTATGCTTTTGTTCGTCCGCGATAACACGAAGTGGGTTGAACGAAGTGGGAACATACGATCTTCGATTAGGATTTTAAGGTTCTTGGAAGTGGTAGCGCGAAATTTTTCGTCATGGATTGCTTCGAGGAAGGTATGAAGAAAGGTTTTGGACTATATTTGTTACAATTGAATTGTTATTCGCGTAAATGTACGATTTTGAAAATAGCATTCAATAATGTATCTGTTTGCGTTCTCGCCATGTCAAACTCGAAGAATTCACTTGTACTTCAGGGTGTATCCCTGTTACGTTTCTCGGATGAAATGAAAGAGTAATCTCTCCGGATAAAATATCAGAAAGAATTAGCCGTGGAAAACCGCGGATGTAGTTTTAGCAATTACTTTTGTTTCCTTCTATAATATGAACATAATCACGCAGATTTTTACTAAATTCTGACCAGTTACTAACAAATATGAGACCCGTACCAAGAGAGAAATCTAAACCATTTTTAAAGGAAACATTGGATAGGTTTCTTCTCACTGACCGCCCCGCCAAGAAGAAGAGGTATTTCAATAGATGAAAATGATGTTGATTCTGATGAGGATGGAATACACTCATTGGACGAAGAAATTGAAAGTTGTCTGGTTGAGTACTTATTGTTGCGCAATATTATGCTTCCTTGATTATTAAAATATTCTTACATACATATTTGCGCTTTATTTCATGAGAAACTTATACGAAATCTTTATAATGATCATATATATAATTAGTAGCAAGTTTTCAACCGAAATACGCCAAAAAATAATTTTGGCCAACTTTTTCGCACAAACGTCCCACTGAGCGACGGGGAAAACAGAGGCAAGCTGGAGCTACGATTCGCCCGCGATCGTCGTCGCCGACGACATTCGTCCCCGATCGATCGATATCGCACACACTGGGAATGTCTGTTCGATTGTTTATCGAACGAAACTCTGAATGGAATTTGTTCCTCAAATTTATTCACGCTGCGCAACGATGCCTCGCGCAGCCCGTTCCTGGAATTTATTTTTCGAATTTACGCGCGCATTTTTCTCAATTAAAATTAATAATTTATTTATCGGATTACGGAGGTGAGATTTCTTGCTCCGATTTTCATTCGGTTTCACACTCTGGAAACCTCTTCGAGATGCCCCCCCCCCCCTCTTCCTTTCAGATACGCGTGCAATCGATCTCCGCAATAATTTACTCGTATGCGACAGTGTTAATGGCGTCGTCAATTAATACCCTGAGCCACTCGATCGCATGGATCCCCGCTGGGAGAAAGCTCTCTCGAGCCCTTTCGCCGGTCTCCTCGATCGCCGGCATCGAGAAATCTAACCACGTCGAGGATGAAACCTAACGCCTCTCTCGTTCTCTCTGATGATCCGATTGTTATCGCGGTTATAAACAGCTGTTGCAACGACGGTGTCCGGCGGCAACGTGCCTGCTTCCTCCATTCTGCACAAGTGTAATACTTCTGCTTACGCTGCTTGCTCGATGCGCGCGAGCAGCGGCGGACTAATTAAGCTGGAAATAAAGTCGTTTAGGAGCGATCTAACGCGCACCGGCGAGTCTTCGTGACGCGTGCGATCCCGGTGAACGACCTCGTGACTATGTCTGTTTACACGTTTTAATTTGAACAACCCCCACCCCCCCCGTCTCTCTTTCTCTCTCTCTCTCTCTCTCTCTCTCTCTCTCTCTCTCTCTCTCTCTCTCTAACAGGTGATTCTTTTTGGGACACAGCCGCCGTGCTCGGAGATCGGATCTCCCGTTCCGGCGACGCTTCTATTCCCGTTTGCAACGAAATTTTTAGATAAGGAGCGTTAGCGGCTGTGGAGGACGAGCGTTCGTGTTCATAAGCCATACTTAGCGTCAAACGCGACCGTGATTCTCGAGATAACATTGTGCACAGTCGTCTTCGTGCCAGGCGAATAAACGTGAGAACTGGATGGCCGCGTTGTAGCGGTAAATGTGAAGTAAAACTCGCGCGCGCAGGCCTCGATATCCGTCACGCTTGCATTTTGATGACGAACGACGCGGGAAGGGCGATGAAAAATCGTCGATTCGACGCGTAAGACGCGACGCGCGGCCAGCGTGAGGATCAAGCTCGAGGAGCAAGCCGCAGGGAGTCGACGGTGACGCGCTCGGCCTGAAATTCGATATATACTCGTCTCGCGAGACGCTCGACTTTTACGCTCCGCCGGCCGGCGAATTATAACGATAATCCTGCGCTGACGATTCGCATTATTCGGCCGCGGTCGAACGCGTGAGACAGAATTTTGTCAAGCGAGGCAGGAAAGAAGAACGAGGAGCGCGAGGATCCTTCGAAGAGGGCGGCGAGCGAGGCGGAGCGGAACGACGGAAGACTACCGGGCGCAACTTTCGGGACCTTTCGAGGTGAAATCGTGAGAAACGCGGCGAGATGATGATCCGACCCGGCAGGATCGCCGCGACGGGATCGATCGGGATCGGGACAACTTTGTGAACATGACCGACGACGAGTGACCTCCACGCGTGATCATCGTTGGCCGCCGCGCCGCGACGGGAGAGATGATCGTCCTCAGGAGCGAGTCGCTCATCTCGCTGCTCCTGATCGTCGACGTCTACCGCTGCGTGGCCGCGAGCCGGAGGAATGACCGTTTCCTGAGGAATTTCGGTGAGTGCAGGGATAGGCGACACACGTGCACTCCTCTCCCCGCGCGTCTCGCCGCGGCCGCCGCGGCCGTCGAGGAGGATGTAGCGTTTTCACTCGCTTGAATTTGTCTCTTCTAGGTCAGCCGAAGGAGAAAGCTGAAAATCTGGAAAATGCGATCAACTCGCGCGGCCAGATGAGGTTCTTCGACGAGCTCGGACGTGAGTGACGTTATTGTGTTGCACGAGACGGTTATTACGTTAACGGCGCGCTGAATACGCGCGCGCGCGCGTATTCTCCCGGCGAATTGCGCGATTGAGCGTAACGACGAGAGCGGAGAGAACGAGGTGTTGGGGCGAATTTTAAGGATCGTTCCGAAAGAGAAAGGCATACGCTCGCGCGCGCGCTTACGCTACTTTGAATAATAAACGAACCTGCCGACGCGGCCGCGTCTCGAGTGTCGGGTGTCGAGTGACGGCAGTGACGGAGGATTCGCGCCGCCTTCGACACTCTCTCGTAATGTGTTTAAATATCATTTAAATACAATAGCGCGCGGCTCGAGTATGCCTGATTGTCGCGCGTAACGCTTCGAGAGACACGCCGGACGACGCCGATTGATATAACTTGGAAGAATTTTCACGAGCGAACACCACGCGACGAAGACTGAAACGTGCGATAATTTGCAAAGAATGACGACAGCTCATCCTCTCGATCGAGTAACGTTAATTATAATGGGAGCAACGGACAATTTTATTTCCTCTCGCGACATCATCCGCGACGGATTTCGATGAGCATTTTTAAACGGTTCATCTTGCCTCACACCGATTAAGGCTATCGTTCGTGGTTCGCTGCGCGGTGATACGTTAATTAGATGATCGGGGTGATTGAAATGTCGCTCGACTGCGAATGCATTCGAGCACGCGTGTCCGCATGATGAAGAGAGTCCGTCCACGCGATGAGTATCGGGCGGATTTAAAGAACACAGCAAACCGGTTCACGTTCACCGGATATTCGTATTTGTGAAACTAAGGCAACATGACCTCAATCTTTATCCTCGGGCGACCCGAGGATTTTTCATTATCGGCACTCACGGTGATTATGCGCGAGCATTACATCCCTTATGAATAAATCCGGTTGCTTAATTTTGCGCATAAAGTGCTTCATCCGCATGACGACTCTGTGAATAATCGAGTCGAGAGAGAGAGAGAGAGAGAGAGAGAGGGAGAGAGAGATAATTAAGATGATTACTCGAGTGTGAGTCCTGTCGCACAAAGGGGAGGCTTATCATCGCGTGTATGAATGAAGAAGAAAAATCGGATATCCTTCGAGCGATTCGCTCGACGGACGATACTTTATTCGGCCGAGCGACCGTCCGACGTTTCCCCGCAACGCGATATTTTCCGTCGCAGGAGAGGCGCAGGAGAACTTCGTGATTCACAGTTCAGTTAACAAGGGAGACGAAAACGGAATCGTACTTGAAAGGCCACTTACTGACGCTTACTTTCTACGAGAATATTTATAATGAAGCGGGCACGCGGGCCGGGCCGGGCGGGACGGAAGCACCGTTTTCACTGCGACCTCGGCACATCCATCCCGTCTCTGTCGCTAAAAGCGTTTTACCTGATGACATCCTTTTTATCCTCTCTCTGCCTCTCTCTCTCTCTGCCTCTCTCTCTCTCTCTCTCTCTCTTTCTCTATCCTCTTCTCCGTTGCTACTCGCGAGACAGCACGAGGCTCGATGCACTCGACGAGTCGCTCTCCCCGCACAGATTTTCATTAATTTAATCGTCACCGAAATTTCGCGCTGCTAATGTCGTAAACGTGGCTCGAGTGCCTGTCGCCTATTTGATTTACCGCAAACGAAAGGCCGCCTGTGAGCACCAATTGTGTCTAAATGTTATACACGGTTTCCGGCGACAGTTCGCTCGCTCCTCAACGATCTCGCCACGACGTGTCTTTGTAAACGCTCCGCGTCGCCTCCGTTTTTACCCTCGGAAGCAAAAATACTTTTAAAAGCGAAACCGCACGGCGAAATCGGCTCACAACATCTCAGCGTGCCAAATCCGTTCGACGTAAAAAGTCGTTTCGGCGGGTGATCGGCTGCGTCGAAATCGGCCTTATCTTTTATTTATTAGCGGCGATTTACCGGAGAACGGGTTTATCTCGCCTCCGGACGCCGAATCGCCACCCCATACTTTCGAATATTGCTGTATTTGCTGTAAAGTCGATCCGCCGAACGCGAGTCCCGCGATTTTCCACCCTTCGCGATCCACCCTTCCCGAATGTCAAGTCGGCGACCGGTGGTCTCGCCGAGTTTCCCGGTGATTTAGAATGCGACAGTCCTAGAGCGACGGAATAATTCAGTGGAGAAAGAAATGGAAAATAACACGCGCCGCGTGTTCCTCGCCGACGGCGAAGGTGGGGGACCAATGTGAGACCAAGGGACGACACCGTCGCCGTTGCGGGAAAGCTGACGCCGGTGAAAGCAGCGGACGCCTTCTTAGATCGTGATCGAGACTCGTGAGACATCGGCTTAAGCCAGTCCACGTGCGGAAGGTGTGCACCGTCGCGGATTCCTCGTCACCCCGGTGAAGGTTTGACCCTCGACCGACTGGGCCCGGACGCTGGTCGTTCATCCTCGAGGAGGTTCTGCCGATCGTCATCGTCTCGCTTCGAGATTGGAAAAGTTGGCGACACCCTGCGAACCAGCGACAGATCTCTCTCTCCCCTCGACGGAAGATCAGCGACGTCAAAATGGCGCTGTTCCGACCGGACCGGCAGACTCGTCCAAAGTTTTGTGCCCATCGCCGGAGCCGTCGGTGAAGTTGGCGACTCGTGAGGAAAGTGGATCATGAGTGAAACCGGACTCGTGCGAGTCCGTAGTTTCCGAGGATTCACGGTTCAGAACTGATCGGTGATAAGACAATAGCGAGAGTGCGACCGGAACTCAAAGCTCAAAGGTATCGATTCCAATCGACTGCGAGTCGGGGTTATCACCCCGCAGTAAAGCTGAGATCGCGCCGCCCATCGGAGATATTAATTCCAACATCAGTCGAAGGTTACCGCGAGTGAAGCGCGACTGAACTCCTCGAATTTTGCGCGAAACTCTTCCCCGTCGAACGAGCGGTTATCGCGTTTCTCCTCGATCATCTCCTCTCCACGATCTTCAAGTGTACGCTGAGCCTGTGATGACGCGCAAGGCCTCCTCGAAGTGCTAAGCGGAAGTCGATCATGAACATCGCGCTCGCGCTGCTCCTCATCACCGTGGCGAGCGCACTCGATCACCATGACGCCTACGCGTGGAGTAGACGCAGGGAGGACTTCAAGGTCGCCGCGAGCCGATCGTTCGTGCCGAGCAAGGTCAAAGAAACCCGCGCGCTCAGACCGACTCCGGCTGTGCAATCGATTCGCAGGTCGAGGATATCGAGTCCGTTCGCGGACGACGCTCTGCAAGACTCGACCAGAAGACACGCGCTCGCGGGGAACGCGGGGGACGAGTCACAGGATCCGTGGAGTCCCGTCAGGACGCGGCAGGACCTGACGCGCGAGAACCGAGCCATCGAGAACACCCTGAAGAACGCGGTCGGCAGACCGTCCTTGGGCAAAGTCGAGCAGTATCAGTACTTTTCAAACTTCCCCTACAGCGGCGACGCGGCTGTCGACGCCATTTTGGAGAACGTCGAGCACCCGAAGAGCACAGCGTTCTTGCCCAAGGACACCGCGGATCACTTCTTGGATCACAACGCGGAGGAAGTGGACTGGAGCGCGCAGGATATATTCGAGAAGGACTCGCAGAATGAAGAAGAAGAAGAAGAGCAGATGGTAGAGGACGAGAGGGAGGAGGGGGAGGGAACGAACGTGCAGGACTTCCTGGACGAGATCAAACGGAGGCGGCTGAGCGGCGATCTCGAAGGACTCGCGGCAGGAGGACACCGACAAGGCAGACGGAGGAAGCTCACCAGCCAGCAGCAAGGTGCGCTGCTGGTGGAGACGCTGAGGAAGAAGCGAAATCACACCAGTGACCATCGAGGACACAGCTCTAATCTGCAGAGCGGCATTATGGACATGCTGGGCAGAAGTATGTTCGCGGGCGCGCGGAAATGGAACGGAAGTATCGCGCTCGTCGTCGGAGTGACGACGATTTCAGGCCAGCGTAACATTGTCGATCGTTCTTGGAAAATGCGAGGGACAAAGGTCGAAGAGCGTAAAATTGTTCGGCAGCTGCGCGAGCTGCCAAGCGACGACGCGCGGTCTTATCTTGCAAGGGGAAGAATATTCCATTTTCCACTGTTAAGAAAAGCGATTGAACGGCTTACCTTTCCTCTTCTGAGCAATGATTATCTTGAGCGCGGAATACGTTCTTACGCTGGGAAAAAGAATTTAGTATCTCTAATAAAACGGTTTGTTGTAGTTGAGGCATTTGTTAATAACAACCAAATATCTTGTTTTATATAACAAAATATTTAGTTGTCTCAACCAAATATATATCTTTTTGCTTTGTTCTCCGGACCAAATGATTTTGTTCTTAGACTTCATATATAAAAATTAAGCATTTTAGTTATTTTATCCATAAAAATTACGTAATAACGAAATATTATTTTACATAAACTAAAATAATGCCCAATGGATACTATTTTGTCTTTCTGTGCACTAAAATTTAGATTTTATATATTAAGAAAAAATTATAGTATTTTTAACAAAATTCATATCAGTTAAAGCTTTTTGGTTGCAAAAGTATTACGTTATACGAACAAACCGTAATCAAACAAGATATTTGTTTAATAGGAACAGGAAACAGTTTTGTTGGGCATATTTTAACCAAATTATTTTGTTGTTACAACAAAATTTTGGTTCACGCAACAATACATTTTTCCTAGTGTAACAATGGCCTCAAAGTACACTCATCGTAAATCCGAGAAAAACTCATCAAGTACTGAAGAAAAAAAAAAAAAAAAAGAAATTTATGTAGAAAGCAAGCCGAATCTGTTTTTTTTTTTTTCATATTCTTGCTCTGATTGAATATCCTTGGGACTGAAGTACTAAACTTATTCAAAATGTAGATTCGACGCTCACGATGAGCTTTGAGAATATCTAAACTTATGAAATACTCATGAGGCACTTTTCTACGTGTAGGGTGATCCTGACACGATACTTTGTATTCGTCATTCTCAAGACTCCGTGAGACACAGATCGGCGTCAGCGAGTTCCCTCGGCGTTATCGACGCGACAGAATAAATTGTTCACGAGCCAATTGTCAGCGGGCGCGTCACACGTAGGCGCAGAAAAAAGCCCGCGGCAGGGTGTCTCCGATGAAATTCATCGGAGGGCGATATCGGTCTTTCGGAAAACGCGGCGACGCGGAAGAACGTAATTGGCGCGATGGCTCATGGAGCTGCAGCCGCGCGACAATGGGCGAGCAAACGCGTCGACATCGCGGTGTCGGTCCGACAAATTTCGACGGTGGATTGTTCTCTGACGAGAGAGAAAGAGAGAGAGAGAGAGAGAGAGACGTCTCTTCGTCCCCTCGCGCGCCTTTCTCTCTCCGCAATAAAAATTAATACATCGACGATACAACACGATATATACCGATAGCGCGACCGCTCGAAGGCGACGACGCTAATTACACGCGGAACCTGCCGCATCTCTGTTTCAGTGATACCGCAGACCTGCAAGTACAAAGGTGCCAAGTTTGAGTGCGGCCTCAGCATTAGCTGCGTCCTAGGCGGCGGCCGACCGGTCGACCTCTGTTCCGGCGGCTTGATATGGAGCTGTTGCGTGGACGACGACGACATACCTGAGAAAGTACCGCGACCGACGATGGCTTTGCTGCAGAATGCCAGTAAGTTGTCGGCGAGCGAGCGAGCGAATTTTTCGCGCACGCGGTGCGCATTGTGTGTGCCGCGTGCGCGTCGTTCGGGGGGAGGGAGGAATTGAAAGGGGGTGACGAATTGCAACGTTCATCGCGCGCGGGAAAATTCTCGAGCGACTCTCGAGGTCCTCTTTGCCCGTCGCCTTTGCCGCGGTTAAGGTGAGTTTACGACACCTCGCGGCAGGAGAGTCCGTGTCGCCGAACGTTGCTGATTCCTGAACCGAGACTTCGAGGTTGCGTCGTGAGCAACTTGTAACACATCTCTCTCGAGTCCTGAAATCTCCAATCTCGAGCTTCGCTCGAGCGCGCGGATCGCCGACAAAAGCGACGCGTTCGTTCGATGCGCGCGCGATGTAGAGCGCCAACGAGAGGCCGCTCGAACTCAGCATTCGCCGGCCGAGAACAGACCGAGCGCGAACGAGTTTGCCTTTTAATAACGTCTCGCGGAGAATGTAGGCGCGCGCGCGCGCGCGCGCAATCTCGTAATCTCGGCAGATCGGAGTTAATCGGCCGGGACGAGTGAGTTCGGAGAACGCTGAGAACGTCCGGCCGTGTAGTCGCGAGGTAGCTGGAAGGAGGCACCACCTCGGCTGGAAGTAACCCGATTTCTATCCGGCGACATCCGAAATTACACAACGTCCAACGACGTGCAGGCAACGTCGCGCTAGCGAGCGCATAACAACGACGACGACGACGACGACGAAGTGCCGGGGGGGGGCACTTTCAAATACAGTTATTCACACCTAGTTTGCGACAGCACAGCGTCGGCCGCGGAACTTTACGCGAGCGTGCTTTCTCGAGAGTCGCCGCGAATCGTTCACCGTAACCGCGTGACCATCAATACAATGGCGCGATTAGGAGCGCGCGAGGACATCATGTCACCTGGACTGGAATGAGACAATCGCGCGGATTACCGTACGCGGTTGCTTCCTAGTTACACATTCGCGTCCGCACGACTTCCTTCCCGCCGCGGGAAGGACTCCGCGACCATCATGTTCGAGCCTCTAACGTTAAGGCATCCTCGAGCACAGAATCGCGCTCGCTGAGCCGAGCCGAGAGATTCGGCCAGCGCGCGCGCTTCGCACCACGCGAAGAATCTCCGCGCGACGCGAGATTCCGACCAGCTAACAGCAGCATCGTTACGTTGCCCAGCGTTTGCCATAAACCTCGGCCACCAACAGCCATACGTGGACGACGACGTGCACATTTACAGCAGCGACCTGCGACCCGGCAGACCCTCGAGCCATCGACCCACGTACTCGCACGTGGCCGGCAGCGTCGGCAGCGGGGCCGGGAAGCCGAGTAACCTCTACGAGCCGTCGTACGCGGTCTGGAGCCACGATCGGCCGCCGACGAACGATCTCGCGTCGGTCAGTCATGAGCGACCGGTATACGCCAATCGTCCGCACCACACGGTCCAGCTGGACCATCCGCAGGACGAGTACGCCCCGGCTCACGCCTCCGGCGTGCACGTGCCGCTCGAGGACTCGTCCAACGCCGTCGACTACTCCAGATTCCGTGGTAATCGCATGAGAACGCACGTCGCGGACGTGCTCCGCCGAGAGTCTCGTCGAAAGCGACTCGTCGCGCGCGATCCGACCTCGGAGAGGTTTGCCACACTAGGAAATAAAATTTGCTATCTCTAACAAAACTGTTTGGTTGAGGCATTTTTTAATAGCAACCAAATATCTTGTTTTATATAACATAATATATTCAGTTGTCTCAACTAAACTTTGTTCTCTGACTCAAATGACTTTGTTCTTAGACTTTTTATATAAACAATTAAAGCATTTTAATAATTTCATCCATAGTGGATACTATCTTGTCTTTCTGTGCACTAAAATTTAGATTTTATATATGAAGAAAAAATTATAGTATTTTTAACAAAATTCATCTGGTTAAAGCTTTTTGCTTGCTATAACAAAAGTATTACGTTATCTCGAACGAACCGTAATCAAACAGGATATTTGTTTGCAGAAACTAACACAGTTTTGTTGGGCGAATTATTTTGTTGTTACAACAAAATTTTGGTTCACGCAACAATACATTTTTCCTAGTGTAGGGTTGCCAAATCCAAAAGTTAAAATTACCGGACATTTCTTCTTTGATAACAAACCCAAACCGGACAGAAATAATAATCATAACGTTACATTAAATACAAAATATGACGAGAATTTATTTACAATATTAATTTCTAAACAATTTTATGAACAAGATTTGATTGAATAAAATAATAAACTATTACTTTCTTAATATATATGGAATAATGGATCAGCAGATTATCTACTAGATGGCTTTTCGTGGCGCTCGATCGTTTGTACACTAGGAAAAATGTATTGTTGCGTGAACCAAAATTTTGTTGTAACAACAAAATAATTTGGTTAAAATATGCCCAACAAAACTGTTTAGTTCCTGTAAACAAATATTTCGTTCGATTACGGTTTGTCCGTATAACGTAATACTTTTGTTATGCAACCAAAAAGCTTTAACTGATATGAATTTTGTTAAAAATATAATTTTTTCTTAACATATACAATCTAAATTTTAGTGCACAGGAAGACAAAATAGTATCCATTGGGCATTATTTTAGTTTATGTAAAATAATATTTCGTTATTATATAATTTTTATGGATAAAATAACTAAAATGCTTAATTTTTATACATGAAGTCTAAGAACAAAATCATTTGGCCCAGAGAACAAAGCAGAAAAATATATTTAGTTGAGACAACTAAATTAAAATTTTGTTATATAAAACAAGATATTTGGTTGCTATTAAAAAATGCCTCAACTAAACAGTTTTGTTAGAGATACTAAATTTTTTTTCCTAGTGTGGGATCGCGCGGCTGTGATCGCGTTTCGTGGACTTTAGGTAGCTGGTGTGTGCTTGTCTTACACTCGTTGGGCTTTCTCGGACGCTGCGACGGAGCGGAGTTCGTCGAGTCGCGGGGATTTTTGACGGGCGCGCTTCATTGTTGACGCGGGCTGTTGCGATCGCGGTGAAGAAAGCGCGACTTGAATCCCGATCTAATCGCGTTGGAGCGCGGGGACAGAGTCGGCCTCGCGAGGTGATTTCCCAAACCTGACTGATCTAACGGATAGATAACTCTAGCGGGTCACGATCAGCTGATTGGTTCTGAGAAAGAATCGCCACGAGATACGATTGTGACGGTAAGACGCGACGAGACGAACGAGGTGGACGACTAGTCTGAAGCGGACGACGACGACGACGACGACGACGACGACTATCTATCGCAGGACGACACAAAGAGCCGTAATTGTTACTAGAGTCTGTTGCAACGGCCGCTAGAAGCTACCGATCCTACAAATGGACTCTCCGAGTGATCGCCGGGATTCACGATCGAGACTACACTCGAGCACGCACGCAATTTCTCGCACGGAAAACTGCATGAGAACTGGGCACTTTCGCCGACACCCACCGCACGATCTCGTCACTCGTGAAAACAGTCGAGAAACTAAACTTGTTGAAAAATCGAGGAACGCTGGAAGACATAAAGTGACGCCATGAGACGAAGGACTCAGAGGAGGAGGTGCGATAAATAAGGACGACGAGATACCGACCGCCTAGCACGATTTACACACGCGGAAGAAAGAATGATATTAAAATTATTTAATTAATTTTCTCTCTCTAAAACCCACACCGAGCCACTTTGGTCACTTAAATATTAACATAGATTAGAAGGTAAAGATAAGACAGGGTGTGTCAGCGATCGGAAAATGAGTGGATAATGTAGAATACAATTTTTCCATACGAAGCTTCGTTTTCGAGAAAGAAGAAGTTGGAGATTTGAAAGACTGGGCTATTTTTCTCGTTCGACTGCGCGTGACAAATTCAAACAATATAAAGATAACAGACGTGAAGAATCGTGTAGCTAATTTCTTACGGATATATGATGATGGCTATCACGTTTCTATTTCCTCTCTCTCTCTCTCTCTTGAAGATCTTGGAAAAGATCGCGCGTGGATTTTATTCGCACCAAGAGCTCGCGAACGAACGTATCTCTCCAACACATGAATGTAATTACACGACAAAACAAACAAAAGGGTTGCCGGGGATCGCGTGAATTCTCTTGCACCACGCCTGCGTGTGTTTTCTGCTTTCCGTTTCTCACCAGGACTCCCGAGCGATCTACGAAGCAAAGCACGCTCAAACGGCCGTTTAACTTAACTCTGCAACGAGACGATCGCGCAGATCACAATCAGCTAATGAGTTCTGAGTGCAAGCTTACGCCTCACATTTATGGTGTATCCCCGTGTGTTTTTCCTCTCAAAGCGCATCTCACGACCGCACGACCGCGTTTCTATTCATCCACCGAGTGTCATCACTTCTCTTTTTCTCTTTCTCTCTCTCTCTCTCTCTCTCTCTCTCTCTCTCTCTCTCTCTCTCTCTCTCTCCCTTTCTCCATCTCACACTTTGTGTCACAGCTATATAAAAAGAAAAGAAAGGAAGAAGAAAAACGCCAACACCCCGAGACATCCTGTTCCATCGAACGCGTGCTCGGAACTCGCGATGACTAAATCAACTCGTTCTTTCAGGCTGCGGCGAGCTCTACACCAGGAGCAACAGGATCGTGGGTGGGCACTCGTCCAGTTTCGGCAGCCATCCGTGGCAGGTGAGGTCCTTCTACTTCTTCTTCTTCTTCCTCTACTATCCGCGAGAAGCGCGGGCCGGCCCCATAAATATCTCCCTCGGCTCGACCCGCAAAAGCGACACGCTCCTCTTTTACCTCTCTGCATTATTCATCGGCAACGAGCCATCAATTTGCTCGGTTCGCCTGCTCTCGTGTAGAGACAGGGTGGGCGAACGAATAAAGGAGAGAGAGAGAGAGAGAGAGAGAGAGAGAGAGAGAGAGGCGCGAGGGAAAAATAATCTATTAAATCTCCGCCGAGAAGAGGAGATCGCGGCGAGTCGTGACGCGCCGCGGATGCATATTTCATGTAATGCGTCGGTGTAAACTGGCTCGGCCGCGTGTGTTAGACGTTAGACTTTTGTTGCAGGCCGCCATTATCAAGTCGGGATTTCTCACCAAGAAGCTGTCCTGCGGAGGCGCCCTGCTGAACAACCGATGGGTCGTCACCGCGGCGCACTGCGTCGCGACGTTAGTATTTCATTATCTTTAATTATGTTTTTTTTTACCGGCGCGAGACGAGTAACGAGAGCGTTAACCGATGTGTCTTTCGCACCAGGACACCGAACAACAATCTCAAGGTTCGACTCGGCGAGTGGGACGTGCGAGACGCGTCCGAGCGGCTCCTCCACGAGGAATACAATATCGAGAGGAAAGAGGTTTCTGTCTTTTTCACTTTTTAAGCGAGATGTTCTAAATCGTCGGGTCGGTTAAAGAAGGCTGGACGTTACTTCGAATGTGCACATGTTTCACTCGACTCTTCGCGCAGTTGCGACGTTCTCGGCGCGATCGAAATTTGCACTAAGCGCATCGCGAGATAATTCGACGCAGCGTCGAGCCAGCGATCACGATAAGAGCCGGTATGAACGACAGGTGCACCCGCAATACTCGCCCACCGACTTCCGAAACGACGTGGCTTTGGTGAAGCTGTCCAGGACGGTAGCTTTCAAGCAGCACATCGTCCCCGTCTGCCTGCCGGCGAGGAATTTGAAGCTCTCCGGCCGAACCGCAACCGTTGCTGGTTGGGGACGGACTAGGCATGGTCAAACTTCGGCGCCATCCGTACTTCAAGAAGTCGACGTCGAGGTGAGTATCACAACTCTCGCTCGTTTCTTCTTTTTGCGGCGAAACGCTTCTTCGACGGATCGTTTTGCACGCACGATTATTATTTTATACTCAACAATACCATTTGTAGATATTAAATGTCGTTGCCAAGATTTTATGTGGCAGCAGCCACGTCGAGAATTTTCCTCACAAATTTATATAATCAGATAAATAAATATAATACAATTATAATTTAATTTAATGGTGAATAATCAGCAGGACATGTTTTTTTTTTTTTTTTACTTTGTTATATCATGTTTTTGTGCAGGTAATACCGAATGAAAGGTGTCAGAGGTGGTTCAGGGCAGCCGGCAGGAGGGAAACCATTCACGACGTATTCCTATGCGCGGGTTACAAAGAGGGTGGACGGGACTCTTGTCAGGTAACGGGGATTGATATCGCGCTTTCATATCAATGAAAGCGTCGCATATGAAGCAATACGAGTCAATATTTGCGAATTAATGCTCAACAGGGCGATTCCGGCGGACCGCTCACGATGTCCGTGGAAGGCAGGCACGTTCTGATCGGTTTGGTTTCCTGGGGCATCGGCTGCGGTCGCGAGCACTTGCCCGGTGTGTACACCAATATCCAGAAATTCGTGCCGTGGATCGATAAGGTCATGAGCTAAAGCGCAAAAGAGATTGTCTCGTCTCCAGTTCCTTCGAAAGGGGTTTCTTCTTCCGGGCGCTTCGCCCGAGAAGAAGAGGAAGAGGAGGAGAAGGAGGAAGAAGAAATATTTGCGAGAACGACGGGCAGTTACCAAAGTCGTAAGACGTACTTCAAGGACTCCCCACAACCGTGTTCGGTTAGTCGACCGTTGTTGAAGAACGGACTCTCACTGTCGGAAACACTCCGGGAAATGTGATGTTTTGTGGATTATATATATTCGAAAATGGCAAGAAAAGGTTAATTTTAACGGAGCTACGAGTACAATGTATTCCGACGATCGATCGTGGCGGCGGTAAAACAGAGTGTTTAAGACACTGAGTAACGATATACGTAAAGATGTTTCATGCGAAGGACTTTTAAAAGGTTTTTGGTTTAAGCGCCTCGCCGTTGTTACTCGAATCGCGAACAACTCGTCGCCTTACATATTAAGATCGAAAGATACGATTTATTTACGAGCCTGTTTGTTTGAGCTTTCGTTGCAACTCAAACTTGATTCAACTATTTTTCAAATCGTGAAACAAGAAAACAACATTACGACTAATGTCGCTGATTTTCAGCTATCATGTCCGATAATTTTACGTCGTTCTCTTGGTGAATTTAAATAAACATGTTTTCCCTTTACGACGCGAGAAACACGTAATTTTTATTTTCATTGGAACATACACAACATGCCGTTTGTTCGCGACGAGATTTATCTCGTATGAAAAATCTAATTTTTAAGAGATGAATTCATGCAAGGAGACCTGATTTCCCGACAAGTACAACGCGGAGCTTTCTTCAACTTCTTTCTGACTACGGATACTTACTGTTACTTACGGTTACTTCGTCATTCTCTGAAACTTCATCGTCGATAACTTACCTTTGGTTATCGACTACCTGTAAGAGTGAACACTGCCTATCCATTAATCCGTAAGCATTCGCAATCGCAGGGTAACTCAAATATATTCAGAAATCATCTTCGGCAGTTAAAACAGGATACTACGAGCAATTGCAACAATTGCTATTAATTCCACGCGGATCGACTATTCTACTTAAAATAAATAATTTTTTTTGTAAAATCGATCCAAAGGCTTTAAGATATAATTTTTAACGTTTGCTTGCACTTCAGAAAATCATTGACTAAATATAAACATTCAAAGAGTTGAAAAACTTAGAAAGCAAAGGACCAAAAAGAAAAAGCTGACATCCTTAACAAAGACAAGCTTCAGCAAGGAACATCGTCGAAAGACAATTTCAAATAGTTTCAAATAGTAATAAATCAAATTAGAAATTAAAAATTGAAATTTTTCAACAGAAAGAAAAAAATAAAAAGTAGAGCAAAAAACTGCAGAAAAGTCCTAATATTTCCATAAAAATTTCAAGCAAGTAAATGCGTAGCAATCTTTTATATATATATATATATATATATATGTATATGTATATGTATGTATGTATGTATGTAATTGCAATTTCCAAACAGCAGAATTGAGAAAGAAACAAGTCGAATAGGAAAGATTGCAGGAATCCTAGTCGCAGACTGTTTGTTTGAGAGCGCATTCGCGGATCCGCTCCTGTCGTCTACGAGAGCAGAGAAAGAGAACGGGGTTGGGCACGGAGAATGCGCGCGCGAGAAGTGCACCTACCCCGATGCAGGAGGGTGTCGGGGGCGGCAGGAGGGAGAAAGCGAGAGCAATGGTGGAGGGTAAGTTGCTAATTAGAGCCAGATTAAACGCTTGTCTGGGGAGCCATTTTCCTTGCCGTTCCTCGCCGTGGCCGTAGGAGGATGAGCCGGAAGGAGTAAGAGGGGTGGAAAAATGGGGGGCTGCGGGGGCGGCCGACGCTGCCAGAGAAAGGAGGAGGACAAGGAGGAAGGGGAGAAAGAGGGGGAGAAGGTGGAAGAGGAAGAGGAGCAGGAGGAGGAGGAGGAGGAGGAGGAGGAGGAGGAGGAGGAGGAGGAGGAGGAGGAGGAGGACGACGACGACGACGACGACGAGGAAAAGTGGGCGCCGAGGGGAGAGCGGGGAGTGAACGACGGAACGCCAACGCAGGCGGGAGGGGCGGGCTTAATGAAAAGTGTTTGCCCCGTAAAAGTTAAGATTAATTGGCGCTCGGGGGGTGGTTACCGCGATAATCAGCCCGGGCCAGTGGTTTTCAAACTCACCCACTGGATCACCGCCGTTCTCTTTTCGGGAGGTGCGACCGGGTATACGCGTCGACTGGTTCTTGCCGAGCCGTTCGTTCATCGTGTCGATATTTCGCGATGCCGCGTCGCGTCTCCCGGGGCGAAAAGTACAGTGATTGGGCGCGAGCTCGCTGCAGCGCGGATGACTCTTTCACGATCGCCGCGGAAGATTAAGCCTAAAAATGTATCCGGCCAGTTGCCACAAATATGCGCTCACTACCGCCGAATAAAATGTCTCCTCGGTTCTGACGAGAAACATCGCGCGCAGGAAAAAGGTCAAATTCTTCCACGATTATATAGAAATCTATATTTCTGTGAAATATCCTGAATTCTCTTCTCGATCGCGCATCGTCAAGACACTGAGATCGGACAGACGGAACTCCGTTCCGTTATATAACTTTATTATAAGCCTAAACGAACACTTGCGAGCAAAAGCACGTACTCAAACTTGTATCATCCGGCCGCCGGAGATAACCGATAAAGCGGCTCTATTCTATTTTCAGCGATAATCACAAGGCGACATAATTAGAGAAATTTAATTACGCGTTTTTCTCCGCGCGGCGCCTTCGTTCACGGTTGAGCACAGCTGGAATGGGAGGTTAATTTGGCGACACCTAGTTTCATTAACAACGCCATTAAAAGTAATGGCCGGCGAGGGGGCGAAGTCGGTCGCGAGGCCTCCTAGGGGGTTGGGAGATTCTAATTACGGACTAGGACTTCTCTCCGGAGTGGAGTACGTAAGGCGGGGGCGACGGCGACGGCGGCAGCGGCAGCGACGGGGTGAGCCGGTCGAACGCCGTGATGCGGAGGGGGTTGGAGCATCGGGTCGAAAGACGCTATGATATTCGTTAAACGGCATAATTGCACCCTCCGGAACGGAACTCGCGTAATTGTGCCGCGCCCGACGACGTCGTGAAAAACTTATCGCCGAACTGATTATACGTCTTGCTCGGTGATTATTGAAATCGCGCGATTAATTTCCGCATTTGAAATGATAGCTAGAGACGAGAGAGAGAGAGAGAGAGAGAGAGAGAGAGAGAGAGAGAGGGGGAGAGAGAGAGAGAGAGAGAGAGAGAGAGAGAGAGAGAGAGAGAGAGAGAGAGAGAGAGAGAGAGAGAGAGAGAGAGAGAGTGACTCAACAGGAAAAGGAGAGAGAAAGAGAGAGAGAGAGGGAGAAATAGATAGAAACGGCACCCTGTGACACATCATTGCGCGCGGATCTCCAGATGCGATCGCGCGATAAAAATTATTTAAAACGTTAAACACACGTCGAAATTTTCGTGCATGTATCGCGCGCGTGCGCGTGATATCTTAATCGGCGTGATAATAAATGAATAAATAAAAAAGATCGAAAGAGGAAGAGAGAGAGAGAGAGAGAGAGAGAGAGAGAGAGAGAGAGAGAGAGAGAGAGAGAGAGAGAGAGATCTCTCTCGATGATCTTCTGTATAGATTCTTAAGGAACGGACGATATTATGTAAGACTCGCGTTCGTGCGGTGAGATAAAGACGATAATACAACTAATCAAAAGGCGATAATTGCACGATCGTGCGTGCACAGCTCCAGTTGAAAAATTACAAATCGATCGTCCGGGACTTTATTTGTTATTATCGCTCCTCGATCTAAAGTGGGACGACGCGCAGCCAGCCGATGGCCATGTGATGGCTTATTTATCGTGGCAATAAATACGGCTCACTTCATGAGCCCATTTGCACCGACAGAGTAATCGTTTGCAGCTCGTCCGACGTAGGCGGGCACAGGTGATTCACGCGTATTGTCTTATCGAACTTATTGGACGCACGTAACGCCGCGTTATCTGCGTTACTAATCGGCGACAGTGAGCTCCGGTAAAGAAAAAGAAAAAAGAAAAACGCGCTGCTTGTTAATAAAATCTCGTGTAACATGCGCGCGCGCGCGCGACTATTATCGCATGCGTGCGTATTGATCAACAACAGATGTATCGATAATTACCATCGCGTCGTCGGGTATTATCAAATTGATAAGGAGGCGGTGCCGTGCCATGAAATTGCCCGTAATAAACGCGCCGATCGCGCGTCCATGACGTGAAACTCGCATGAAACTCGAAATTCCGTCCGATCGGGACCGATCGGAAATTTACGCGCTAATGAATTTTCCATAATGTAATATCTGCCTGATTGATTCAAAGGGTTGCAGGCGGGTGAGATGGGGATGGATTCTGACGGACGGAAACTCGACTGATGACTTATCTTACAATCGTAAAAAAATCACATCAGGTGAATCCACCGGGCCACGTCGGTGTCTTTTATGAGATGCGTCGGTCGATAAAGGCCACGCATTGCACGAAAGATAGACAATTACGAGTCCGGGGAGAGTCTCCGCCATGCTTGGCGAAGGAACGCGCGGGAGAGTCTTTTATCTCGCCGATGCCGCTGTTTGCGTAACGTTACATAAAGCATCGAGTGCTACGAAGTAAGTGGTGTCACTTTAGCGACAATGTAAGTGAGCGAGGAATTGAAATTAGGCCGATAAACGAGCGTTGGACAATCGATAAGGCGCAATTAACGATCTTTACATAAATACAGACGCGCGATAAGAGGATACGCGACATCAATTAAGATTTATCGGCGGCCGGCGATAACCGATCGATATAACGATCCGGCAATCTTATCCCGCGGATAACGAGCGCGACGTGTAAATTAATTAATGTCAAATCGTTAATTATTGCTGCGAGAGAGAAAGGCAGCGGGTGAGGACGGAGGCGGGAGAGAGAAAGAGGAGGGGACGCGATAGCGCGCCCTTGTCACCGTTTATACGTTATTATCGTGAAAGTCACGAAAGTCGGATACAGTCCGGCAATCGATATTATCGCGCGATGGAATAGTTTCTGAGACTTTGTACCGCTGCGCTCGACGCTGTTGAAAAATATCGAAATTCTCGTCGACCGCTGTTCGCGTTCGCGATCGCCATTAGCGTTGTCGTTGCGTTGCAATGCGTGAGAATTAAACGTAAAATCGCGCGCGATATTATTCTCGATATTCACTTGAAAAATGTCTTCGTTTCGATATTTGGAGAAACAATAAATTCGCGCTGCTTCACATCGACCTGGCGTGCGCACAAGCCGATCACCGCGATTGAACGAACTTACGAGACGGGATTAGTTTTCGCTCTTACGAGCATTATCTTAGCGTTATCAGCCCGGCACTTCTACGACGATCCTACAAATCTGTTTTTAACGGGTTATTCTCGAGTCGTGGATTTTTGTCGGATTCGCTCTCGAATGAAGATACGACGCAGAACGACAGTGGAGGAGCTGTCCCCGCGCTTATCGTGACGGGGCATAATCGGTGGTTAAAAATCGTTTGATGTTTGCTCGCCAGCCAAGGGTGACAGAAGGCTACCTGTGTGTACGTGCCAGCGTTCCACAATACGATATACATATGTGTTTACTACCTGCATGGACCCTGATACGTCGCCAGTGGCGTAGAACGACCGTGAAAACGGGGTCCACGAAAACGGGCGTAAGTCTCGCGTAAAAATGCAGCCTCGATTCGCGCGTCTTACCACAACAGATAATTTGCAATTTAACACGAATTTTTCTCGCCTAATAATGTCACGGTCTCCTGTAGAATCAGTGGCAGATTAGAGCAAAGACTAACGTGCGAAACGAACGAATTAAGAAGCTCGATGAAACATCGTGCTGATTCAAAGCGACAGCAATATATCCATGGTTTCTTCCTCAAAATTAAATAATTGAATATCCAATTCTAAAAACAAACACGGTGTTGAAGCATGCTTCAACACCGTATTTTCACAGAATAATACTCGAATTTCTCGTCGTCCTGCAAGAGGAAAAAATAAGAAATCTGCGTTGAGGTGACTCAGACAGGAAGAGAGATCCGAGAGAAATTCGGATACTTCTGCTGCTCTGTCGACACTGCAAAGATCCTTGGCAACAAGGAATTCCGGGTCCGCATTTAGCCCGTACTCTTCGCAGAGGATGAAAATACCGCGCGAGTGACACTACTGTCCTCCCGACCTGGGGAGGTCAATTTTCCACGAGTTGCGAGGGATAAATCACAACGCGTCCTGCCAAAGGGAAGCGACAAAAGTGGAAGCGCGTCCACGACACTGGCGCGCGCGATAGCATTACGGGAGTACGTAGAAACGTATCGAGAGGCGAGCGAAAACGAGTATCCCGTGAGTGTGCTGGACGTGCCTCGGCCCTTAAGCAAACACTCTTTCGTCTCTTATTTGGCTACATACGGGCAAACGAGAGGAGAGCGGACCATTTACCTTCCAGTTCCACCGTAGTATCACGAGCGCGGCGGGTGACCATCGGTGATCCATCATTTTTCGTTCGTCGGACGCCTCGAGAGCCTTCGACGCGCTAAGTGCCGCCAACGCGCGCGCGGACGCGTCGTCTTGTTATTACTCATTCGCGTCGCGGCAAGCCAGTTTTCGGTGCTAGTCTATGTACGGATTCTAATCTCGCGAGTATTGTGAACGTACGCGAGACGTCTCTCGGACTCCTACACTGAGAGAAAAGTATATGATATGTGGAAAAGTGTATAATGATATATAGCAACTAAATTATAGTCCGAAATATCATATTTATAGTAAGTATTACCATAATGTCGGTAATAATTACGATATATGTATAGTACAATCAACCATATAATATTTTCACTAAGAATTATAGTAAGTTAAACTAAAATTATTGTATGGATACAAATCCATAAAATGGTAGGTAAAGTAACTCTTTTATATGGTCAATATTACCCAAATATTTGCTAAATGATGACAGATGTAACTATATGAATATTAAATCTCACTATATTTGTGAATGAGAAATTATCATATATGTGGTAAAAGTAATCAAACAACTATTTCAGACAATCATTGACTATATATTTGTGTTTATTCTACTATATTTTGCAGGTTTCCGCGAACTATAAAAATATGGTTGACGCCGAAATGAACTATAAAATACAGTGAGATTATAGTTAATTCAACTATATTTTTCTATCAGTGTATCAGCGGTAAAAATATTATTTCGGATGTACAAAAAGAGGATAACGTGAAATTATGAAACAGCCGGACACGACTTGGTACTCGAAAATTGTCCGACTGAGTACTGAGTAATTTTTAGTGTTCTGTCAATACTGTCAATAATGCCAGTAATTTCGGAATGCAGTCTTTGTTTTTCTCTCAAAACAGCAGAGGAATGTTGAAGGTGTGTGTGTGTGTGTGTGTGTGCACGGAACTGTATTATTTATATACATTTGAGGTAAGTATACATATATTATTTTAAAAGCACGTTGAGATGCTTCGTTTCGATTGCATTCGGAAAGTGTTTTCGGAAGAGAGGTTTTCGGAGGAATATTTTCGTGCACGGCATTGTCATCCTGCTGATAACCAAATACGCTCGGCCGATATCAGAAACGACTGATAAGGGGACGATTATTCGCCAACAGGGTGTGATACCCATTACGCGACTATTAGGTGCTTGATAACGCGACACGTATTATTGATACTTCATTGCGCGATGCCATCTGAGCGGATGTCCAGCAATACGTATATCTCGAGCGTCGATTACACACATTTTCCAGCTAATCGGATGCTATAATTTGCCGGAATGACTTGCAACCGTTGTCAACGGTAAAATATATTTCCATCGTCTGAACATCTGTACAAGTTCGCATTTCGAGCATACGCGCTACGTTTTGCGCACAGAAAATTGGTCGACGGTTATTCTCGCGCACAAAGAACACAGGCACACAACGATCACGGGGAAAATCACGGAGGACGGGGGGAGGGGTGGAATCGCAGTTCGCAAATCGGGGAAGCTCGCAACAAGGAAGAGACTCGCCTGGGCAATCCTCGAGTTCTGCCTCGGCTAATCCGGCCGGCTAAGCTTCCGGATGATATCACGAACGAGCGAGAGAGAAGTTTGATTGAACGAGGACGTATCGGCTGGGAACTCTCGGCTAAGGCTAAGGACGCTCCCCGATCCGGAACGCGACTTCTAGTCCACTTTGCGCGGCGCCGCGGTACCGCGCAAGACAAATTGAATGGCGCGTAAAGGATTTCGTATCGAGGGGAGCTATCGCGTTGCGAATCATCCTCGCGAGGATGATTCCGATATCGAACGACGGGGGAACGACGGAGCGCGGTCCCCCCTCGACAATCCCCGGGGGGTGATATCGTCGCTTCCTTCCGGCCGAGCGGTCTCGCGAATCAGCCTCGACGAGGTGGCCATCGGACTTGAGTCACGGTTAAATTAATGACGCGATAATATCGATTACAATGCCGTCGGTATCCGCCGCCCCCTGCGCCGTCGTCGTCGTCACGCGGACACCAAGAATCCCCCAAGAAGACGCCGCGGAATCGTCCATCCGCTCTCGCACCCTCGCCGCATCTTCACACGCCTCTCCTTCCGACTTCCGGCGGTCACGTGGCGAGCCTCCGTGCATCTCTGTCTCGCGCTGGCGGCGTTCGCGGCCGCCCCATTGGTCGTGTCCCCGGGGGTGAGAGTTCACCGTTCGGGGGTGGCATCGCGTTGTCCTCGTTATACCCGACGATGGCGCCTGACTCCGTCTGATTCTCGCCAACGTGCCACGCAGGAGTCGTGGGTGTAGCTTGGCTACGCCCGGCCTGTCGGTGGGCTTGGCCAAGCCAGCTGCAGCGTTCCCGGCGAGTAGGGGAAGCCTTTTCGGCGGACACGCGGTCATCCGCGACGTCACTTTGCGACGCGACGCCGAACCGCTCGCTCGCCCGTGCCGCCGTCGGCTTCGCGCTGGGATCGTGACACACGTACAGTCGCGCGATCGAGACGAGTTTGCTGATATCGACTCGAGCGGGGAGCATGATTGACCTATGAAGCTGCGCGAACCGATCGCACCCTGATGACATCGGCGTGACAGCCACGCTCGGCGAGTTGCGAGGGAAACAGTTTCAAGGGCCGCCGACGTTTGCACGAAGCACAACCGTGCCCCGACAGCCCCGCTAAGATCGCGCGCGAACGATCGCGATCGATTTCGCCTGGACGAAACCCGACACCGCGGCGGCCGCTCGCGGACAAAGCGGACAAAACCCGATCGTCATTATTGGGTCAGTGTCGGCTGTCGAGATCACTCCGAGATCGCGTCACTTCGTCGTCGCGCGACCGCTCGCGCGTTCTTCGCCATCCCGACGCCGGCGCGAAGAAGGAACAATCGCGTCGCGCTTAGACTCGCGATTCGCCGGGCGTTAGTGAACCGTCGTAGGGAGCCGTCGTCCTACTGGCGATCAAGTGCCCTGCAGGGGATTACCTAGGACTCTCGCGGTCGAGGGGTACCGGCCGATCAGTGTCGATCACGGGGACGAGTCTAGCGGGAAGCATGTGTTAGGTGTGACACACCTACAGTGACCGCGAGGACATGGCAGCTATGCATTACAACGCGCAGATGGTCTCGGAGGAGCTGCACCAGCACCCGCGACATCTCTACGGCCTCCAGCAGAGACTGCAGGACCCCGGCTCGTCGCCGCGGTCGGAGGACGCGCGATCCCCGCTGGAGAGCCGCGTGAGGTCCCTCGAGGAGATGCGCTTCGTAGGCGGCAGATCGCCGGATGTGGAGGAACGAGTGGTGAGATACCACGAGGACGCCGGCGGCAAGCGTTTCCCCAAGGAGCAGCTGCCGACTGCCGGCTTCTTCCAGGACCCGGAGAATGCGACGAGAAAGTGCTTCGGCGACGAGCTCGCGACGAGTCGCTGCCGCGAACCGGAAACTTCGCCCGGCAGGACGTCCTCGCCGCAGAGCTACATCCTCAGCTCGCCCAGCCAGCACAGCGGCTCCATCGGCAAGACGTCCTTCTGCATCGACGCGCTCTTAGGCCGCGCCGCCACCAAGCAAACCGAGGTGGATCAGTCGTCGAGCGATCGGCAGAAGACGTTCGCCAGGAGCCACGCTGTACAGCCAGACGGGCTGAACCTCAGCGGCGTCCAAGGACGAGAGACGTCCCCAGGCGCCGGGGTGAGATGCTCCACGGACCAAAGGACCACCTCCTCGTCCTTGGGCAACCCCCTACATCCCTTCGTGCAACATCACGGTTCCGAGTCGCCGGGGCTCGAGACGCGCGAGAGACTTTCCACGAGCCGCGAGGCCGTCCTCGCCGGCCTCCACCACGCCGACACCGGCGTGTCGGTGCAGCGCGGCCAGTTCAGGCCCGAGACGGGGACCAGCGGCTACCGGAACATAGCCGATCGGCTGGAAAACGCAGAGGACGACACGTCCGTCGACGTGGACCCGACGCGAACCGGAAGTGCCAGTCCTGGCAGCAACGCGAGCCGCAGTCCCGCCTCTAGTCCTCCCATTTCGCCCGGCTCGGAGGACCCCTCGAGCAACGGGGTCCTCGGCCATCAGAGTCTCGCGTCTGGGCCCTACGGAGTGGGCGCGGCGGTGGTCAGACAGAATCAAGGCCTCCTACTGCATCCCGCGGGCCCACTTATCCATCCCGGCGGACTGTACTATCATCCGGCCGGTGGCAGCGCCTTCCACTCGATACACAAGGAGGGTCAACCGGTCGGCCATCCCCAATCCGGAGGGCCTCATCCGCAGCAACATCACATCCATCCACTTCAGCTCGAGTGGCTCGCCCGGACCGGCATGCTGTATCCGAGACTGCCCGCGGATTTGGCCGGTGAGTGAGCCGGCGATGGCCGTTTAGGATATTTTCATTTGCTCACACGCGCCTCCAGAGAGAGGTTTGCGGTGATGATCGTTCAAATATATTTCGATCGCGCGAGGTAACTCCGATTCCTTCGAACGCTCGAACGCTTGTGCGATATCTCGCCTGCTGTTTGTTTAAAAAGATTCTCGGAATATTCTGATTAATTTTCAAATGAAAATGTTGTAGAAGCTACCTCGTGGGGATTTTATCGTTATTGTTACGTCGATTTTGAGGATGTCGCGTCTGTTAGATATTGTCTACAATGAAAGTTAAGATTTCGTTTTATCTTTCAACTTCCTCCCTCTCTCTCTCTATATATATATATATATGTGTGTGTGTGTGTATGTATATTGTATATTCCTCGTTATCTTTTAATTATTTTAAGTCTGTTAGTATCAATAGAATAACAAATCTCTTTAAAAAATATATACACTCGCAGAGTTGTATTTCGAGTATGTCTGAGTGGTCTATAAATTTAAAATAACCTAATCAATGCCAGATTGTAAGTTGCATCATTTCCTAACAAAAGCGTCAATCATGCTCATCGAGACGACGGGGCCTATCAATCAGAAACGAATCGCTGATGCACATGTAATTAATCGAGTAGTACCGAGTTAAGATCGCCGCGCCGACGTACAATTAATCGTACTGATGAAAATCGCAACGATTATCGCCGTTAAAAGGCGGAACATATCGAGTCCCGTTATTTCGCGTTAAAACGTCATTCGTATGGGCTTTCCAGCAAAATATGCTATAATCCGATAATGACACTATATTATGTATTTTAGGTGGCCTAAAATGCGCCTAATTATATCAACGTGACATAAATTTTTCGAATTTTTCTCTCGTGTCTGACAGAATATAACAGATATAAAAAAAATATATATATACCTGTATTTTATATTTATCATATTATTTATATTTCTATAAAGTGGAACTTGCATGAAATACGATTAGAAAAAACTCGAAAGTAAAAAAAGTAATTTCCGTTCTTCTTCCAAATGACGTTACACGTCGAATACCGCCTACGAGGAAAACACGTAAAGCGAGCACTTAATTTTCAAGATTATCTGTCCGATTTTTATCACAGTCGAAAGTGAAATCGCAAACGCGCGAGACGTGTTTCATTGTAGAAAGCCGCGATCGTAAAAGGCGATCCGACCTTCGCGAGCTGTTAATCTTCTTCCAATGCCTGATAAATTAGTGATTTGATAATAATTTGCGAGGAAATCGAGCGCAGTCGATAACGGTCGTTAAAGCCGATAACGATCCTCATAAATCGTCCTTCTCTAAGCCGCCAGTGATGTTCTCTATGCCGATCCCAGAAAAAAAATATATCGATTGCGACGTTATCGCCGATCGAAGATCTACAATAAATAGCGCGCTAGATAGCAAACGGACATCCAATTAAAAGAATCGCATGGAATAAAATGCGAAATGAATAATTTCAGGAAAATATATCGACTCAATTTGGCGAAAAATTGTACGGAATCGCGCAAACGGATGACAAGGTATTCCTTTTATTGCCAGTGAAAGTCTCAAGAGGGAGACTCGCCTTAGAAAAAATTGAATTCGCGGCCGAATAATTAGCAAAGGCCGGCCATTAATCACCGCTTGCGTTCGCAAAAGAGTTCTTCGCAAAAAAAGCGAAAAGATCGCGGGTCGTGGGAGAAGCCCAGGGAGAGACAGGAGGAATGCGCAAAATCGCAGTCTGTCTCGTGAGTGAATGAGTGAGTGGATCGTCGCGCGATATCGTCGATCGACGGTAACTCATGCGTGGGAGTGCGTGTGTTATGTTAGCTCTCGACGGCTATTACCAGCTATTAACTCGAAAGTGAGGCAACGTCGAAAGACAGATTGCCGCTGCGCGATGAGCAGATAGTACATGTTTACGTGTCTAATGTACCGCGCGCGAGCAGACCATATTGGCCGGTCACTCAAATTTTACGATCTCGATAATGGCGACGTGTCGCCCCTCCGCCCTCGCTCACAAATCCCCTAAAGTCTCCAACAAACATAACACACGCTGTTCCGCCTAACAAATGCCCAAAATAGAGAACTTTCATCGTCATCGTTCCTTCACGCAAATGGAGCAGCATAAAAAGAAACTCTGTTCTTCTCCTCTATCAGGAATAGTTTCTTTTTTTCCAATTTTTAATCCTCATCGCACACACATGGTGGGATATTTTTAATTAAAATTCTCACTCCTCCTTATCAATCTCGCCGAACGCGATAGCGCGAGATCTTTTAATTCCATCTGCCCGACAAAATCCAGACAGACCCGAGGGCACCTCTTCATTCGGTCGCGAATCCTTTTCCTCGCGAAATCTGCGCTCGCGAGGAAGAAGGACTGCATCACCGGCGACTAATTCACGCGAACGTCGCCAGGAATCACGAGAGGAGTCTCGAAAATCCAAAGGAGCAAACGCCGAGAGCGGGAGGAAAGAAAAGGCTTGCTAAGTGGCGACGGAGGAACTTGAAAGGCAACGGGCGACGGGTCGAAGGGCAAAGGGCCGGGAGTACAACAAGGGACTTGGTTACCACGGTAAATTTCACGCTCGGAAAAAAGAGCCGTAGCCGCGTTGTCAGGCCAATCAGTCGAGGGCTTTTATCGAACAAATTGGTCAGTGAACGTATGGCGGCGGCGGCGGCGGCAGATACCCCGGACCGGGAGGGGAAGGAGGAAGGGTGGCAGGAATGAGAGGTGGACAGCCGGCGGGGGCAGCGGGGATGCCGCGGACACAAGTGGTGAACGGTGGCGGGTGCGCGGGGTATTTCCTGTCAGATGATCCTGATTGGTAGTTGCCGAGCAATCCAGCGTCGACCAAAAAAGGCGAAAAAGTCGAGCGGTGGCGTAAAACAAGCGCAAAAAAAACGGCAAACGACAAAAAAAGAGGGACAGAGAACGGGAACGAGAGAGAGAGAGAGAGAGAGAGAGAGAGAGAGAGAGAGAGAGAGAGAGAGAGAGAGAGAGAGAGAGAGAGAGAGAGAGAGAGAGAGAGAGAACTCCGCGCCCGCGCCGCGCACTCGCGTGGCACGAAATAAAACGCGCGCCGAATAACATCGAGGCAACCCCCTTCCGCCCTCAGCCACCCCCGCACGCTCCATGGAGGCCATCGCCGGTGAGGTACACGGCTCGACTTGTTAAAAATTGGCGGCGGCCGCGCGGACCGCCCTCCCCGCACGACGCTCTGTAAATAACGCGGGTGCAAACGGGGGCGGCGAACGGCGGACGGCAGCGGCGATGGTGACGGGGGGGGGGGCCGACGGGGGAATGCGCGAGAGCTTTTATTTGCGGAATATTTGTCGCGCGTTATGCCCGCGCGCGGCGACGCTGCGACAACACCATGTTTCATCTATCCCGTAACGGCGTATCGAAATTTAACTAGTACGCTACAAACCGGGCCGTGCACGTGTCCGGGGGCCCGCCGCGTATTCGTACCCCGACACCGCTCGCGCACGGTATGGTATCATCGCCACACCGCCACCACCCACCACCTCGCGCACCCCAAAACCCCGCCGCCGCTCGTCGCCCTGGCCGCGGATAGTTATCCATATCGCGTTACGAACGGATGGCCCGCACCGCGGTCGCTCTAATTAGCGCGGTTCTGCGGCCATCGATTGCCACCGCCGCCGCCACCGTCGCCGCCGCCGCCGCCGCCGCCACCGCCACCGCCGCCGCTGCTGGAATAGCCATTGAAATGGCAAAACGTATCGTCGTCGCTGTTATATTGTCGGAATTGCACGAGGCTGTTTATACTCGCGAAGGTCGACGGCGCCGAGAGATCCGAGGCCGTAAAAGCAGGAGAGATCAGATGAGGCAATTATCTATTGAATAGGTGGAACACGTTCGAGGAAATGCTTGCGATCGTAACATTTGCATGCTAAATTCGCCTGCGAGTCGCTCGAATCGCGACAAGCGTACGCTTCTCCGAAAGAAGAAGGAAACGCGAGGAATCCGAGGAGGGTGAGCGGGCGCCTGAATTCAGCGCGCGTTTTGTGTTTGCGTCAGTGAAATCGGCATTAGCGGGATAAATCATAAATTAGCATTATGCTAATATATTTCGCTGGCAGCGAGAGAAGCGGCGTCACGGCGCACTTTTTGCAACTACGCGCTGCGTGTCCCGCGCGTTCTACATTTTTCAGCCGACGTATGTATACGTCAATCAGCAACGATCCGCACTAGCCGATAGTTGGCTTTTGGATTAGCGTGTGAAACACGTCATCGATTTTCCGACAGTGACAATCACACACGTACACAATGCACATATACATGCACGCACGCACGCACGCACGCACGCACGCACGCACGCACGCACGCACACGTACACACACGGGCAGTCGCGCCGGCGATGATTAATCGTTCGCGCGAGTTGAAGTGCAATTGTAATAATTACTGTCCCCGACCAGGCCGGCCGAAGAAATAAATTATTCATCGCGAATTTATGGCTTTTTACATGATACGCGCGCGTGCGCTGAGAAAATCCTTAAGCGTTTTAACAATATTAATTGCCGGTATCGATGTCAACGGCAAATACATAAATAATCGCGGAGGGCGCGATAAATCTCGCGTACGATAAAACTGGCGGCACGTGACTTTTATTCTCAGCGTTGCTTTACATATTTTGCCGGTGATTTAATGACGGCGAATGTTTAATTTGGCGATTATGGAAATGCAAAATTTCCGCGCTGCCGTTTTATTTTACGAGCTGCCGAGCGGGGCGAAGGGGTGCGGCGCGCTTCTTATTTTGCGTCGTCGCAGCGCTCATTACGCGAAAATTTTTAATGAACGCTACCAGCGGAATTTACAATGACGAGTGTTACACGCGACTGCGCGAATGCGTAAACACGCGTGTAAAATACTTTCCACCGTTCTCTTTCGCAGTGCGCCGTGCAAAGACGCGGATGGCGACGGAAGACGCCACGCGTCGGCGTCCTCTCTCTCTCTCTCTCTCTCTCTCTCTCTCCCT